TTTTGGCTGTAGCGGAATAAAAGTCACCTGGCGCACATTCTGTTTCCGGCAGACTGGGCGGAGGAGAGACAGGCCTGGGAGTGGCAGATCTTCCACGTATCCTCCATCTGAGGAATCGCGGTGACACAATCAGTTGCGATCTGTAGCCCTGCGTCATATGGAGCCCTGTCAATGCGGCATCAGTAGCCCAGTCAATGCGGTATCTGTAGCCCTCTTAATGTGATATCTGGAGCCCTGTCAATGCGGTATCTGTAGCCCTGTCAATGTGGTATCTGGAGCCCTGTCAATGCGGCATCTGGAGCCCTGTCAATGTGGCATCTGGAGCCCTGTCAGCCCTGCCAACGCGGCATCTGACGCCCTGCCAACGCGGCATCTGGAGCCCTACCAACGCGGTATCTGGAGCCGTGTCAATGCGGCATCTGGAGCCCTACCAACGCGGTATCTGTAGCCCTGTCAATGCGGCATCTGGAGCCCTGCCAACGCGGTATCTGGAGCCCTGCCAACGCGGTATTTGGAGCCCTGCCAACGCGGTATCTAGAGCTCTGTCAGAGTGGCATCTGGAGCCCTGTCAATGCGGCATTTGGAGCCCTGCCAACGCGGCATCTGGAGCCCTGTCAGAGTGGTATCTGGAGCCCTGTCAATGCGGCATCTGGAGCCCTACCAACGCGGTATCTGGAGCCCTGCCAACGCGGTATCTGGAGCCCTGCCAACGCGGTATCTGGAGCCCTGTCAGAGTGGCATCTGGAGCCCTGTCAATGCGGCATCTGGAGCCCTGTCAATGCGGTATCTGTAGCCCTGTCAATGCGGCATCTGGAGCCCTGTCAATGCGGTATCTGGAGCCCTGTCAATGCGGCATCTGGAATCCTGTCAACGCGGCATCTGGAGCCCTGTCAATGCGGTATCTGGAGCCCTGTTAATGTGGCATCTGGAGCCCTGTCAATGCGGCATCTGGAGCCCTGTTAATGTGGCATCTGGAGCCCTGTCAGAGTGGCATCTGGAGCCCTGTCCATGCGGCATCTGGAGCCCTACCAACGCGGCATCTGGAGCCCTGTCAATGCGGCATCTGGAGCCCTGTTAATGTGGCATCTGGAGCCCTGCCAACGCGGTATCTGGCGCCAAGCCAACGCGGTATCTGGAGCCCTGTCAATGGGGCATCTGGAACCCTGTCAATACGGCATCTGGAGCCCTGCCAACGCGGTATCTGGAGCCCTGCCAACGCGGTATCTGGAGCCCTGTCAGAGTGGCATCTGGAGCCCTGTCAATGCGGCATCTGGAGCCCTGCCAACGCGGCATCTGGAGCCCTGTCAGAGTGGCACCTGGAGCCCTGTCAATGCGGCATCTGGAGCCCTGCCAACGCGGTATCTGGAACCCCTGCCAACGCGGTATCTGGAGCCCTGCCAACGTGGCATCTGGATCCCTGCCAACGCGGTATCTGGAGCCCTGCCACCGCGGTATCTGGATCCCTGCCAACGCGGCATCTGGATCCCTGCCAACGCGGCATCTGGATCCCTGCCAACGCGGCATCTGGATCCCTGCCAACGCGGTATCTGGAGCCCTGCCAACGCGGTATCTGGATCCCTGCCAACGCGGTATCTGGATCCCTGCCAGCGCCGTATCTGGATCCCTGCCAACGCGGCATCTGGATGCCTGCCAACGCGGCATCTGGATCCCTGCCAAAGCAGCATCTGGATCCCTGCCAACGCGGCATCTGGAGCCCTGCCAACGCAGCATCTGGAGCCCTGTCAACGCGGCATCTGTTGCCCTGTCAATGCGAAATCTTGAGCCCTGCCAACGCGGCATCTGGATTCCTGCCAACGGGGTATCTGGAGCCCTGTCAATGTGGTATCTGGAGCTCTGTCAATACGGCATCAGAAGCCCTGTCAGTGCGGTATATGTAGCCCTGTCAATGCGGCATCTGGAACCCTGCCAACGCGGTATCTGGATCCCTGCCAACGCGGCATCTAGAGCCCTGCCAACGCGGCATCTGGATTCCTGCCAACGCGGTATCTGGACCCCTGCCAACGCGGCATCTGGATCCCTGCCAACGCGATATCTGGAGCCCTGTCAACGCGGCATCTGGAGACCTGTCAATGCGGCATCTGGAGCCCTGCCAACGCGGCATCTGGATCCCTGCCAACGCGGCATCTGGAGCCCTGCCAACGCGGCATCTGGAGCCCTGCCAACGCGGCATCTGTAGCCCTGCCAACGCGGCATCTGGAGCCCTGCCAACGCGGCATCTGGATTCCTGCCAACGCGGTATCTGGAGCCCTGTCAACGCGGCATCTGGAGACCTGTCAATGCGGCATCTGGAGCCCTGCCAACGCGGCATCTGGATCCCTGCCAACGCGGCATCTGGAGCCCTGCCAACGCGGCATCTGGATCCCTGCCAACGCGGCATCTGTAGCCCTGCCAACGCGGCATCTGGAGCCCTGCAAACGCGGCATCTGGATTCCTGCCAACGCCGTATCTGGACCCCTGCCAACGCGGCATCTGGATCCCTGCCAACGCGGCATCTGGAGCCCTGTCAACGCGGCATCTGGAGCCCTGTCAATGCGGTATCTGGAGCCCTGCCAACGCGGCATCTTGATTCCTGCCAACGCGGCATCTGGAGCCCTGCCAACGCGGCATCTGGATCCCTGCCAACGCGGCATCTGTAGCCCTGCCAACGCGGCATCTGGAGCCCTGTCAACGCGGCATCTGTTGCCCTGTCAACGCGGCATCTGGATCCCTGCCAACGCGGCATCTGGAGCCCTGTCAATGCGGCATCTGGAGCCCTGTCAACGCGGCATCTGTTGCCCTGTCAACGCGACATCTGGAATCCTGTCAACGCGGCATCTGGAGCCCTGTCAATGCGGAATCTGGAGCCCTGCTAACGCGGGATTTTGAACATTGCGGAATCCTGTCAATGCGGCATCTTTAATCCTGTCAATGCGGCATCTAGAGCCCTGTCAATGCGGCATCTAGAGCCCTGTCAATGCGGAATCTGGAGCCCTGTCAATGCGGGATTTGGAATATTTCGGAACCCTGTCATTGCGTCATCTGGAACCCGGTCAGTGCGGCATCTGGAGCCCTGTCAATGCGGCATCTGGAATCCTATCAATGCGGCATCTGTAGCGCTGCCAACGCGGGATTTGGAACATTGCGGAATCCTGTCGATGCGGCATCCCATTTCTTGTGATCAGACGTCTCCCATCTTCCGCCTGTCGTCGAGTTGGGGCATGTATTGATGCCCGTGAGGGGAATACTCAATACGGAATCACAATTGTGACAATCTGAAGGATTATAGGTTCCATGTGCTGATTTCAGTCTTAATGATTGATCGATTGCTGAACAACTGACCCCATCCTCCAAACTGTGGACACTACCCGTTTAATACAATACGTTTCTCATTCACAGCATAACTTGTAATGATGTTTATAATTCATTTCTCTGGACAAACAAATATCCTCCTTTACATTTGTCATGACGTGTTTATGCTGTATCTCTATTCCAAGTAAGAGTACGTGATGCATAAGTGCAGAGTTACGTCCCTTGGACACGCCAGAAACCTATGATTGTGGGTTCGAATCCAGGTTCGCCCTGATTATGTTTCTAGGTGTGTCAGCACCATACCCGTGCTCGTGTGTTTCACCGAAGTGGTAAACGTCTGAGACCTGCTTCACTTCGGGCTTTCCTCCCACACTAAGCTGACACGCCGCGAGATAACTGGAATACTATTAAAAGCGGCGTTAAACCAAACTCACTCACTCACTCACATGGTGCATAATGGGCATTTCACATCACAGTCAGCACAACTGGTTCAGTCACAACAGCGGTCGAGACTTTGTTTATTGATGATGAGAGTATTTTTTCAAGAAGGTGGAAGTTAAATTACTTATTTACAAAAAAACTATGAGCTTATCAAACAATTCATCCGTCGTCTACATGGAGACGCGGCAATCAACATAAACAACCTCAGCCGACTTTTTTTCAGCCTTGCATGACAACGGTATAAGGATCGATACCGAAACGTCGCCTTTACAGCAAATAAAGATGTTGTTATCCAAAAATTGTCTTTACTTTGTCATCCGTTAACTTCTAAGTATGCCGACCAAACAATTCAATTACCGAAAACGTTGATATAACTGATATATTCCCTATTTATGGTACTTCAAGTTTTGGACTATAACATGATGAAGTACACAAAAGTGGGTGAAATAAGAGTTAGTGAGTGAGTTGGGTTTAACGTCGCTTTTAACAGTATTCCAGTTATATCGCGGCGTGATGCAGGTCTCGGACGTTTACCACTTCGGTGAAACCCACGAGCACGGGTATGGTGCTGACAAACCTAGAAACATAATCGGGGCGAGCCGGGATTCGAACCCACACTCATAGGTTTCTGACGAGCCCAAGGGACACAACTCCGCACAGCGAATCGCGGCGCCTTAGACGACTGGGCCCTAAAATGAGAGTGAAGGCGGCCGACATTGAGAATGAGAAAATCCCCGATCCAAGATGCCGCATTTTCACGATACGTTTGTAGTGTCCTTGAAAAAATACCGATAGGGTCAAAAACATAATTATTCAAAACATCTGAACTCAAAATATTCAAAACATTTAAGCTGCACCTCTTCAACCGAGTTGTAATAAAACCAAAAGATGCCAATGTTGAAAATGAGTTGCATTCATAAGATAAGGATGATAACGGCGTCCGACATTTTACTCATTTCTTAAATCGTATGCACGTGGACGTGTAGGAGATCATAATATGTCATCCGTTCATCAAAGATATTTTGTATACTTTCAACATATCATTTTAAAAGTTATGTTCATTGTCTATTCCGACCAAGGACTATTTGAGTACAATCGGTAAACAAAGAATGAAGAAAAGTTCCTAAACTGCATTGCTGCTATTGTTTTCTAATTCAACTGGCTATGGGTGTTATCGCCATGTGCTTTTCCTCAGTCGGACAATATTTCGCCTCAACTGTATGTTAGTAAAAACCTCAATCATATTCCAGCTTGCCAAGTGAACACACAAAGGGGGCAACGTGGCCCTGCAATAAGTACTCTGAAAGACTTCAAGGCGTTTCGGAACTTGCCGTCCCTCCGCTGTCATGCGCAGATCGGCACCGGGGGACGTCAGTCTGACCTTCTCGACACCGAGGCTAAGTTGAATGCCTTTGAAAAGACACTTCCTGAAGCTAACAGGACATTCTTCCAACAAATAAGACAGAGCAAAAGTGAGTCGATAGGATTTAATTAAGTAATTCGAACGGGTAACGGTATTTGATTTTAGTGCCTTGTTTTAAGAGTGAGAAGGGGATAAAAGGAGTAAAACTAGATCAGACATATATGGTTACTGCATGACGAAAACTCAAAGTTAAGAAATCAGATCGTAATTTAAATGAATCGGTCTTGTTGTCTTGATGATCCAAAAAGAATACTATAGTAAAACTGCAGGGTTATAAGACGATTTAAGCATTTATTTAGTCACTCGGGATTTTAGAAAATCGCCAATTCATATTATTACATTATAACAGTTGACCAATGTTGTTAACACCACGCACAGATCATGACTGGTCTCCATTTACCTCGGATGAGGCCAGGGAGACCTTTACGTTCCTCGTCTCGGCCTTGGACCAAACTGGTAAAGCCCTTTACCTTAACGTCACGCAACAGTGGGACCAGATTGACTACACTACCCTGCTGGACGTTCTACGAACATGGGACCCTTCTGTTCATCTGGTGTTGTCGGTAGGTGGTGCAATGTCTTTGTTTCGGGTGGTGGGAGCTCTAGAAACATGGGACCCTTCTGTTCATCTGGTGTTGTCGGTAGGTGGTGCAATGTCTTTGTTTCGGGTGGTGGGCACTCTAGAAACATGGGCCCCTTCTGTTCATCTGGTGTTGTGGGTAAGTGCTGCAATGTATTTGTTTCGGGTGGTGGGCGCTCTAGAAACATGGGCCCCTTCTGTTCATCTGGTGTTGTGGGTAAGTGCTGCAATGTATTTGTTTCGGGTGGTGGGAGCTCTAGAAACATGGGCCCCTTCTGTTCATCTGGTGTTGTCGGTAGGTGGTGCAATGTTTTTGTTTCGGGTGGTGGGCGCTCTAGAAACATGGGCCCCTTCTGTTCATCTGGTGTTGTCGGTAGGTGGTGCAATGTCTTTGTTTCGGGTGGTGGGAGCTCTAGAAACATGGGCCCCTTCTGTTCATCTGGTGTTGTCGGTAGGTGGTGCAATGTCTTTGTTTCGGGTGGTGGGAGCTCTAGAAACATGGGCCCCTTCTGTTCATCTGGTGTTGTCGGTAGGTGGTGCAAATGTCTTTGTTTCGGGTGGTGGGCGCTCTAGAAACATGGGCCCCTTCTGTTCATCTGGTGTTGTCGGTAGGTGGTGCAATGTCTTTGTTTCGGGTGGTGGGAGCTCTAGAAACATGGGCCCCTTCTGTTCATCTGGTGTTGTCGGTAGGTGGTGCAATGTCTTTGTTTCGGGTGGTGGGCGCTCTAGAAACATGGGCCCCTTCTGTTCATCTGGTGTTTTGGGAAGGTGGTGCGTTGTCTTTGTATCTTTGTCTTTTTATCCCCTTAAAGCCGAACGCCAGGCAGAATAACAACAAGTATCATCTTATAACGTCTTTTGGTATAACGCGGCCGGGGATCGAACCCCCGATCTTCCACACTCCAGGCTGACACTGTACCTCAGTACCACGGAGGCGGCCGAAACATCATGAAATAGATGTAGCACACAGATGTTGGTACTTTTTACCCTTTACACTTATCTAACAGTAACATTAATGGTAGAACGACAGAAGTGACGTCCTCTATCGCGTGGTAAATCTTGCCCCATATCAGAATGAAGAAGATGATGGCCTAACTGCTAATACAGATGCCAGATTGCGTTAGGCCGTAACTGTGTCTCTTTCTCAGACAGAGGAAATCTGTCATCCAGACCCTAGAGAAAAAATAAAATAAAACAGGAGCCCAACTCAAGACTAGAATAATTTGGCAAGTCTAGATTGCCTCGACCCTGAAATGCAGGATTGTTCTTGCTCCATTTGGATTTTATTATTTTTATTTTACAGATATATATTTGTTAATAAGATAACTTTATTTCTGAGACTAAATGTCAGTCAAACAGAGAGGCTGTAGCTGGCTGTACATGTGTATCGGGTGCTGGAGGTACGTGGCCCCGGGACTCTGTATCAGGTTTGTAGGCACCAAGGAATCCAAATAACCATCTTGTTGTACAAGACTTGCATGTTGCAGGACGGTGGCGGAAATGAGGGAGTGAGTTTAGTTTTACGCCGCTTTTAGCAATATTCCAGTAATATCATGGGGGACACCAGAAATGGGCTTCACACATTGTACCCATGTGGGGAATCGAACCCGGGTCTTCGCCCTGACGTGGCGGAAAATGACTGCACATTCTGCACAATGACTGCACAATCGTGGTTGTCGTCATCATGCCATCTTCGTTTCTGAAGATCAGCATATCTTACCCTAATCTCATCCATGGCTGTAATTGGACCCGTGAAGATCCGGGGTAGAACAGGTCTTCAGCAACCCATACTTGCCGTAAAAGGCGACTATGCTTGTCGTAAGAGGCCTAGCTAGGTGACTAACGTGATCGGGTGGTCAGGCTCGCTGACTTTGTTGATGCATGTCATCGATCCCAATTGCGTGGATCAATGCTCATGATATCAATCACTGGATTGTCTGGTCCAGACTCAATTATTTACAGATCGCTGTCATATAGCTGGAATATTGCTTAACAACATGGCTGTAATTGGATAAGATTTTTAGCACGTCAGTTGAATCGAACTCAAAGCAAAGTTGAAGTATAGATTTAGTACAGAGTTCAGATGATACAACTAATACAGTTAATAGACTTGACAATCGAGGATGTAAGTGTTTATGTGTATGCGTCATTATGCCATCAATATAGACATAACGAATGAGTATGAATGTGGTGTTATGGTGTACACCGCTTTTAGCAATATTCCAGCAATGTCATTGTGGGGGATACAAGAGATGAGCTTGTGTCGGGATGCTGGGTTAGAATTGGTCCCTAGCAACCTATGCTTGTTGTGAGAGGCGACTTAATAGATCGGGTGATCAGGGGTGTTGGCATCGTACCCCGACGACGTTGGGCGTTGCTGAATACTGATGGTCTACCTGGACTAGACTTGAATATTTCCAGGTCGCTGTTACATAGATAGGATATTACTGAGTGTGGAGTTAAACACAAACACACAGACAGTGAGTACAGACTGTTATTACTACAGCTAAACCACCACGGTCTGGAGAATAGATCCCGTGTACTCACTGTCTTTGTGTTTGTGTTTAACGCCACACTCAGTAATATCCTATCTATGTAACAGCGACCTGGAAATATTCATGTCTAATCCAGATGACCATCAGTATTCAGCAACGCCCAACGTCGTCGGGGTACGATGCCAACACCCCTGATCACCCGATCTATTTAGTCGCCTCTCACAACAAGCATAGGTTGCTAGGGACCAGTTCTAACCCAGACCCGGGTTCGATTCCCCACAAGGGTACAATGTGTGAAGTCCATATCTGGTGTTGTTCCCATCAGTGATATTGCTGGAATATTGCTAAAAGCGGCTTAAAACCATACTCACTCAGGGATCTATTCGCTGTTACATAGATAGGATGGGAACAACACCAGATATGGACTTAACACATTGTACCCTTGTGGGGAATCGAACCCGGGTCTTCGGCGAGACGTGCTAACGCTTCAACCACTAGGCTACCCCACCGCCCCATATAGACATATTGTGTCACCTTGGCACATCAAGAATGACATTATACATTGATCCCGCTACATTTATTTGTGAACAGGAACATGCTGTCATCATCACCGACTGGTCAACAGTTTTTAACATAAACTAACCACCAATTCGTTCCAGAAAACAGCTCACTGCTTTGTGTTTGGCGAACTGAATGAGACGGCACTGGAAACATACTGCCAAAGGTTTCTAGAGGAGAAGGTGTCGACCGCCATTATGTTGGCAACCATCAATAGGTGCGGAGACTGTGTGGCTCTCGGAGTTAGGAACCGCTTTGATGACGGGGTACGTCAATATATGTCTGTCTGGCGACCAGAACGCGTGCATGCAATCATTTGCAATCATTACTTGTTCAGATATTCATTATCAGCAAGTATAATATACTACTAAAATAAGTTAAGGATCACCCATTCTTTCATATCATAAGTTAAACTGTTCAGATATTCATTATCAGCAAGTATAATATACTACTAAAATAAGTTAAGGATCACCGATTCTTTCATATTATGAGTTAAACTGTTGTTCAGATATTCATTATCAGCAAGTATAATATACTACTAAAATAAGTTAAGGATCACCGATTCTTTCATATTATAAGTTAAACTGTTGTTCAGATATTCATTATCAGCAAGTATAATATACTACTAAAATGAGTTAAGGATCACCGATTCTTTCATATTATAAGTTAAACTGTTGTTCAGATATTCATTATCAGCAAGTATAATATACTACTAAAATGAGTTAAGGATCACCGATTCTTTCATATTATAAGTTAAACTGTTGTTCAGATATTCATTATCAGCAAGTATAATATACTACTAAAATGAGTTAAGGATCACCGATTCTTTCATATTATAAGTTAAACTGTTGTTCAGATATTCATTATCAGCAAGTATAATGTACTACTAAAATAAGTTAAGGATCACCGATTCTTTCATATTATAAGTTAAACTGTTGTTCTGATATTCATTATCAGCAAGTATAATATACTACTAAAATGAGTTAAGGATCACCGATTCTTTCATATTATAAGTTAAACTGTTGTTCAGATATTCATTATCAGCAAGTATAATATACTACTAAAATGAGTTAAGGATCACCGATTCTTTCATATTATAAGTTAAACTGTTGTTCAGATATTCATTATCAGCAAGTATAATATACTACTAAAATAAGTTAAGGATCACCGATTCTTTCATATTATAAGTTAAACTGTTGTTCAGATATTCATTATCAGCAAGTATAATATACTACTAAAATGAGTTAAGGATCACCGATTCTTTCATATTATAAGTTAAACTGTTGTTCAGATATTCATTATCAGCAAGTATAATGTACTACTAAAATGAGTTAAGGATCACCGATTCTTTCATATTATAAGTTAAACTGTTGTTCAGATATTCATTATCAGCAAGTATAATATACTACTAAAATAAGTTAAGGATCACCGATTCTTTCATATTATAAGTTAAACTGTTGTTCAGATATTCATTATCAGCAAGTATAATATACTACTAAAATAAGTTAAGGATCACCGATTCTTTCATATCATAAGTTAAACTGTTGTTCAGATATTCATTATCGGCAAGTATAATATACTACTAAAATAAGTTAAGGATCACCGATTCTTTCATATTATAAGTTAAACTGTTGTTCAGATATTCATTATCAGCAAGTATAATATACTACTAAAATGAGTTAAGGATCACCGATTCTTTCATATTATAAGTTAAACTGTTGTTTAGATATTCATTATCAGCAAGTATAATATACTACTAAAATGAGTTAAGGATCACCGATTCTTTCATATCATAAGTTAAACTGTTGTTCAGATATTCATTATCAGCAAGTATAATATACTACTAAAATGAGTTAAGGATCACCGATTCTTTCATATTATAAGTTAAACTGTTGTTCAGATATTCATTATCAGCAAGTATAATATACTACTAAAATAAGTTAAGGATCACCGATTCTTTCGTATTATAAGTTAAACTGTTGTTCAGAAATTCATTATCAGCAAGTTTAATGTACTACTAAAATGAGTTAAGGATCACCGATTCTTTCATATTATAAGTTAAACTGTTGTTCAGATATTCATTATCAGCAAGTATAATATACTACTAAAATAAGTTAAGGATCACCGATTCTTTCATATTATAAGTTAAACTGTTGTTCAGATATTCATTATCAGCAAGTATAATATACTACTAAAATAAGTTAAGGATCACCGATTCTTTCATATCATAAGTTAAACTGTTGTTCAGATATTCATTATCAGCAAGTATAATATACTACTAAAATATGTTAAGGATCACCGATTCTTTCATATTATGAGTTAAACTGTTGTTCAGATATTCATTATCAGCAAGTATACTATATTACTAAAATAAGTTAAGGATCACCGATTCTTTCATATTATAAGTTAAACTGTTGTTCAGATATTCATTATCAGCAAGTATAATATACTACTAAAATAAGTTAAGGATCACCGATTCTTTCATATTATGAGTTAAACTGTTGTTCAGATATTCATTATCAGCAAGTATAATATACTACTAAAATAAGTTAAGGATCACCGATTCTTTCATATTATGAGTTAAACTGTTGTTCAGATATTCATTATCAGCAAGTATAATATACTACTAAAATAAGTTAAGGATCACCGATTCTTTCATATTATAAGTTAAACTGTTGTTCAGATATTCATTATCAGCAAGCATAATATACTACTAAAATGAGTTAAGGATCACCGATTCTTTCATATTATAAGTTAAACTGTTGTTCAGATATTCATTATCAGCAAGTATAATATACTACTAAAATGAGTTAAGGATCACCGATTCTTTCATATTATAAGTTAAACTGTTGTTCAGATATTCATTATCAGCAAGTATAATATACTACTAAAATAAGTTAAGGATCACCGATTCTTTCATATTATAAGTTAAACTGTTGTTCAGATATTCATTATCAGCAAGTATAATATACTACTAAAATAAGTTAAGGATCACCGATTCGTTCATATTTTGAGTTAAACTGTTGTTCAGATATTCATTATCAGCAAGTATAATATACTACTAAAATAAGTTAAGGATCACCGATTCTTTCATATCATAAGTTAAACTGTTGTTCAGATATTCATTATCGGCAAGTATAATATACTACTAAAATAAGTTAAGGATCACCGATTCTTTCATATTATAAGTTAAACTGTTGTTCAGATATTCATTATCAGCAAGTATAATATACTACTAAAATGAGTTAAGGATCACCGATTCTTTCATATTATAAGTTAAACTGTTGTTTAGATATTCATTATCAGCAAGTATAATATACTACTAAAATGAGTTAAGGATCACCGATTCTTTCATATCATAAGTTAAACTGTTGTTCAGATATTCATTATCAGCAAGTATAATATACTACTAAAATGAGTTAAGGATCACCGATTCTTTCATATTATAAGTTAAACTGTTGTTCAGATATTCATTATCAGCAAGTATAATATACTACTAAAATAAGTTAAGGATCACCGATTCTTTCGTATTATAAGTTAAACTGTTGTTCAGATATTCATTATCAGCAAGTTTAATGTACTACTAAAATGAGTTAAGGATCACCGATTCTTTTATATTATAAGTTAAACTGTTGTTCAGATATTCATTATCAGCAAGTATAATATACTACTAAAATAAGTTAAGGATCACCGATTCTTTCATATTATAAGTTAAACTGTTGTTCAGATATTCATTATCAGCAAGTATAATATACTACTAAAATAAGTTAAGGATCACCGATTCTTTCATATCATAAGTTAAACTGTTGTTCAGATATTCATTATCAGCAAGTATAATATACTACTAAAATATGTTAAGGATCACCGATTCTTTCATATTATGAGTTAAACTGTTGTTCAGATATTCATTATCAGCAAGTATACTATATTACTAAAATAAGTTAAGGATCACCGATTCTTTCATATTATAAGTTAAACTGTTGTTCAGATATTCATTATCAGCAAGTATAATATACTACTAAAATAAGTTAAGGATCACCGATTCTTTCATATTATGAGTTAAACTGTTGTTCAGATATTCATTATCAGCAAGTATAATATACTACTAAAATAAGTTAAGGATCACCGATTCTTTCATATTATGAGTTAAACTGTTGTTCAGATATTCATTATCAGCAAGTATAATATACTACTAAAATAAGTTAAGGATCACCGATTCTTTCATATTATAAGTTAAACTGTTGTTCAGATATTCATTATCAGCAAGCATAATATACTACTAAAATGAGTTAAGGATCACCGATTCTTTCATATTATAAGTTAAACTGTTGTTCAGATATTCATTATCAGCAAGTATAATATACTACTAAAATGAGTTAAGGATCACCGATTCTTTCATATTATAAGTTAAACTGTTGTTCAGAGATTCATTATCAGCAAGTATAATATACTACTAAAATAAGTTAAGGATCACCGATTCTTTCATATTATAAGTTAAACTGTTGTTCAGATATTCATTATCAGCAAGTATAATATACTACTAAAATAAGTTAAGGATCACCGATTCGTTCATATTTTGAGTTAAACTGTTGTTCAGATATTCATTATCAGCAAGTATAATATACTACTGAAATAAGTTAAGGATCACCGATTCTTTCATATTATGAGTTAAACTGTTGTTCAGATATTCATTATCAGCAAGTATAATATACTACTAAAATGAGTTAAGGATCACCGATTCTTTCATATTATGAGTTAAACTGTTGTTCAGATATTCATTACCAGCAAGTATAATATACTACTAAAATGAGTTAAGGATCACCGATTCTTTCATATTATAAGTTAAACTGTTGTTCAGATATTCATTATCAGCAAGTATAATATACTACTAAAATAAGTTAAGGATCACCGATTCTTTCATATTATGAGTTAAACTGTTGTTCAGATATTCATTATCAGCAAGTATAATATACTACTAAAATAAGTTAAGGATCACCGATTCTTTCATATTATGAGTTAAACTGTTGTTCAGATATTCATTACCAGCAAGTAAAATATACTACTAAAATGAGTTAAGGATCACCCATTCTTTCATATTATAAGTTAAACTGTTGTTCAGATATTCATTATCTGCAAGTATAATATACTACTAAAATGAGTTAAGGATCACCGATTCTTTCATATTATGAGTTAAACTGTTGTTCAGATATTCATCATCAGCAAGTATAATATACTACTGAAATAAGTTAAGGATCGTCGATTCTTTCATATTATGAGTTAAACTGTTGTTCAGATATTCATTATCAGCAAGTATAATATACTACTAAAATAAGTTAAGGATCACCGATTCTTTCATATTATGAGTTAAACTGTTGTTCAGATATTCATTATCAGCAAGTATAATATACTACTAAAATGAGTTAAGGATCACCGATTCTTTCATATTATAAGTTAAACTGTTGTTCAGATATTCATTATCAGCAAGTATAATATACTACTAAAATGAGTTAAGGATCACCGATTCTTTCATATTATGAGTTAAACTGTTGTTCAGATATTCATTATCAGCAAGTATAATATACTACTAAAATGAGTTAAGGATCACCGATTCTTTCATATTATGAGTTAAACTGTTGTGTCATGACAGAATAACTATAGCAATATGAAAGAATCGGGTGGTCCTTTACATTTTTAAGTAAAGTAAACTACGGTTATAACGAACTCAACGGGACCACTAATTTTAGTTCGTTATAACCGTAGTTCGTTGTGAGCATATATACAGCATAACTACAGCAAATAGTCGGGACAAAAAAGTAAGTTTGTTATATCCGTCAGTTCGTTATAAGCGTGTTCGTTATAAACGTAGTTTACTGTAGTATAGTTTTTATTATTATGATAGTGTATCTAGCAGCTAGCTCTCGCCCCTAGGCCCCTATTTCGTCTGTTTCCGGTTAGTTTTTAAAAAAAAAATTCTCTTGTCATCCAAACAAAGTCTAGCTAAGCTATTTTCTTCTTTTGTAAAACCGGTGGCAAAATTATGTTTTTCAGTTTTCCATTGAACTCTGATTTTTTCATCACATGTGAGCTATGGTCAGGAATACTCATCCAAACATAAATCAATTCTAATGTGCTTTTGACCTACTCAGCGACCTATATCTGTTGTGGGTAAGTTCCCTGACACCTGTTTTGGCCTTAACGTCCTGTGTCATTGTTCCCAGATCATCGGCAGGATGTCGGACCCCAAGTGCCGGGCGTATATGCAGAAGGTCGCGCAGTACCAGCCTACCGGCTGGGACGTCTACCACATGACCTGGTGTCCACACGTCGTCACCGTCAGGGACATCGGCAGGATCGAAGACAGCAATTTCTGTAATGCGTATGTATCTCATGGTGCCCTTCATGACATCATCGATCTAAGTGCAGACCATTTATTCTATAGCAACATTTTTGGCTCAAGTTATTTTTGTAATGAACAATGTCAGACAACCATGATTTTTCTCCGCAACTTGTTTCGGGTTTGTTTTGTTCAAAGTTGGGACTGATTTTCATTGAAAGTAGCAATTAATTATGAGGTCGGAAAACCCATTATGTGCTCTTCAGTTCGATATATCAGAAGTGGACTGTGTGTCAATTTGTCCACTACATTTCGACATATCTGGAGTTAGGGACGGACCCTTGATATGGTTAGAGATAAGATGTCCTTTTACCTACAGCAGCAAAGCCAATATTTTTTCTAATAACACTAAGAGCCTGAACTGTTTGTAAAGACCAACACCTTGCAACAATGTATTTTTAGGTGGCAGACATTTCCTTATTCATTCAACAGTCAGAACCTTATTATTTGTTTTCAAGAATTTTCTGGGACAATTTATTATTTTCGATAAATTCCCATCAGAATATCAAATGTTCGGACCCTTAATTATATGTGACCTTGTGAATTCAGCACACAACAGGGCCGTCTGAAGGAAAAGAGGTTCTACAGCAAGCTGAGGTCAGGGGTCAGGAGGAAGATAGGTCAGAAGCTCATCTTATGTTTCGGTCAACTGTCTCAGTGGACAGCTCAGCAACTTACAGATTTCGCCAACTATGTGGTCAACATGCCTCGTGACGATATCGACAACATGACGGTTGCTCAGGTAGAAATCCTAAAGTTGGAAATTTAGCGGTCGTCTACAAAACCACAGATGCCAAGTATCTGCCATTATGACATTGCAACATGCAGCACATATTTTTATATATTTTTATATTTTTTTTTAATTTTGTATATCGTACAGAAATCCATTCAGCAAAGAGCGGCTTCCTTATAATTCAGATTTGGACCACAATTCACACATAGACCAGGTTCATTCTGTACTTCACACACCATAGCCCACACATAGACCTGGTTCACTCTGTCCTTTACATACCACAGTTCACACATAGACCAGGTTCACTCCGTTCTTCACACACCACAGTTAAAACACAGACTAGGTTCACTCTGTCGTTCACACATCACAGTTCACAAATAGACCAGGTTCACTCTGTCCTTCACATACCACAGTTCACACATAGACCAGGTTCACTCTGTCCTTCACACACCACAGTTCACACAGAGACCAGGTTCACTCCGTCCTTCACGTATAACAGTTCACACATAGACCAGGTTCACTCTGTACTTCACACACCAGAGGTCACACATAGACCTGGTTCACTCTGTCCTTCACACACCACATTTACACACTGACCAGGTTCACTCTGTACTTCACACACCACAGTTCACACATAGACCAGGTTCACTGTGTCCTTCACACACCATAGGTCACACATAGACCTGGTTCACTCTGTCCTTCACACACCACAGTTCACACATAGACCAGGTTCACTTTGTCCTTCACACCCCACAGTCCACACATAGACCAGGTTCACTCTGCCCTTCACACACCACAGTCCACACATAGACCAGGTTCACTCTGCCCTTCACACACCACAGTCCACACATATACCAGGTTCACTGTGTCCTTCACATCCCACAATCCACACCCAGACCAGGTTCACTCTGTACTTCACACACCACAGTTCACACATAGACCAGGTTCAATCTGTCCTTCACACACCACAGTCCACACATAGACCAGGTTCACTCTGCCCTTCACACACCACAGTCCACACATAGACCAGGTTCACTTTGTCCTTTACACACCACAGTCCACACACAGACCAGGTTCACTCTGCCCTTCACACACCACAGTCCACACATAGACCAGGTTCACTCTGTACTTCACACACCTTAACTACACATAGACCAGGTCCACTCTGTCCTTCACACACCTTAACTGCACACAGACCAGGTTCACTCTGTCCTTCACACACCACAGTCCACACATAGACCAGGTTCACTCTGCCCTTCACACACCACAGTCCACACATAGACCAGGTTCACTTTGTCCTTCACACACCACAGTCCACACATAGACCAGGTTCACTTTGTCCTTCACACACCACAGTTCACACATAGACCAGGTTCACTCTGCCCTTCACACACCACAGTTCACACATAGACCAGGTTCACTCTGTCCTTCACACACCACAGTTCACACATAGACCTGGTCCACTCTGTCCTTTACACCGGCGGCTATGTTTCAGCTCCTGGCCAACCTGGATACCTTTTTGGACGTAGACGACGTGAAAGAAACCAAGTTCCTTCGTATCCTTGGTTACAAGATCGGCGACTGGTGGGAAGCTAATTCGGGGTCGCTCACAGAACAACAGAAAACTAAGTAAGAGTGAATTCATCTTCTCGAGGCAAGCATGTCCACTTGCCTATATCCAAGCCTAGTTTCTACCCTTGCCACATCAAGGCCACTTTTCTTGGCTTGACCCTGGCGCCACCTCGCGTAGATCACGAGTTGTGCCCCTTGAAATGAAAACGCGATACCCAGTCAGATCGCTGTTCTTAGCTTGTATGGCTTCACAAAGATTGCGACAACCACAGGCAGCGGTAAAACACTTTCATGCGAGCGTACAGCGTACGAAACGTTCTCTGATTGGACATTGGTTTCATAGGTTTCAACCAAACGCATCTAACATGGCCGTTTGAATAGGTTAAATTGACAGCTCAAATACGTAAGAAATAAATTTAAACAATACAAAAAATCTAATAACTTCTTTGAGTGGCATTTAGAAGTTGGAATGGTCGCCCAATTGTAATGAAGAAGTTGCTCATCCATAACAATTTTGACTTAGTTAAACAATCTACTGCATGTGCAGAACGATATCTGAACTGTATAACGATAGAAAATCAAATCAAACCATATTTATTTTATTTTAGGCCATGCCCGTGTACATTACAGTACATAATCGTTAGTACAAGAGTGTTGCACACATTCAAGAAATTTACCTTGCATTGTTGAGCAGTGGCAGGTAATTATAATGATTGCTTGTCGTTTAAGGCTTCCTTAAGATATTTTGAACCATTTTCTAATCGGGATTAACAATTGCAGTTTATTACTTTGAATATTTAACAAATATATTCAACAATATTCCAGCTATATGACGGCAATAGACACAAATACGCTTTATTCAGTGACCTGTATGATTTCATCTCTTTAAGGTTACATTATTGTGTATGTGAACCCTGACTACATGCTCGAATACCGAACACTTGACCTCACCTTCCTAACTGTTCTCGTGACGACAATATCTGTGACAATGACCTGTTAAATGTCTGTACGCATAACGTACAAGGATGTGCCCTCAAAATGAAACTTTTGACTTTTGACTAAGTTCAAATGTGCCTCTGTTCACCCAGCAGGGAATGGGTACCCGAAATGTGAGGTGGATGTAAAAACCTTCTGGCGCCCCTAGGCAGCTTGAGTTGTATACTCCCCAAGGAGTTGAGAATGATAACTGGAATTCAAACGGATCCACTTGACGGGGAACAAATAAAAACCTCACTTTAGCAGATACTAGTACTTGGATATCTGCGGTATATAAATGTATAACAACAACAACAACAACAACAACAACAACAGTGAGTGAGTGAGTGAGTGAGTGAGTGAGCATGGTTTTACGCCGCCTTTAGCAATATTCCAGCAATATCACGGCGGGGGACACCAGAAATGGGCTTCTCACATTGTACCCATGTCGGGAATCGAACCTTGGTCTTCGGCGTGACGAGCAAATGCTTTAACCACTAGGCTACCCCACCGCCCCATATAGACATATTGTGTCACCTGGGCACATCAAGAATGACATTATACATTGATCCCGCTACATTTATTTGTGAACAGGAACATGCTGTCATCATCACCGACTGGTCATCAGTTTTTAACATAAACTAACCACCAATTCGTTCCAGAAAACAGCTCACTGCTTTGTGTTTGGCGAACTGAATGAGACGGCACTGGAAACATACTGCCAAAGGTTTCTAGAGGAGAAGGTGTCGACCGCCATTATGTTGGCATACAATCAGAAGGGAGGGAGGGATTGTTTGTAACGCCGCTTTTAACAGTATTCCCGTTATATCACGGCGTGTCAGCTTTCGATGGGAGGCAAGCCCGAAGTGACGTAGCTCTTTGACGTATACGTCTTGGGTGAAATCCACAAGTCCCGTGCTGACAAACCTAGAAACACTATCAGGGAGAATCTGGGTTCGAAATCACATTCTGTTACGCTGAATAGACACTACACAGCACATTGTGGTGCCGCTTTGGTGACTGGACCATTTCCATGACCCCCCCCCCCCCACACACACACACAACACTGTATTGCCGTTGTATAACACGCCCTACCGCCCCCGACTCCCACCATCAAAGTCTAGACCAATTTATAATAGTTATAAATCGGGGCCACCCGCGACCTTATCCTATAATATTACAAAAATGTATATCACCGAAACCTCTTTTCTCAGGTTGATCTGCGTGGTAGTAAAGTTCGCCCCGTTGAGGAAACTGATTGACAAGACCCTGAGCAAAAGTGACCTTGAGACCTTTGTGAAGAACTTCACATCCAACTGTCCGGCAGATTTCGAGATTTCACCAAAAGATGTAAGGGAATGACATACAGTAAACTACGGTTATAACGAACTGACCGATATAACGAACTTACTTTTTGGTCCCGACTATTTGCTGTAGTTATGCTGTATATATGCTTATAACGAACTACGGTTATAACGAACTAAAATTAGTTGTCCCTTTGAGTTCATTATAACCGTAGTTTCCTGTAATGTAAATAGATTGGGTTGATTGTTGTGAACATATGATGTTTCTCTTCATATTCCGCACGAAATATATTAAGGAGCGCTCGAATACTATCATATGTTAAATAAATCTTACCTTCAGGCCAAACGGATTCTGAAGCGTATCGTTACGGCTGACGGCTTTTCGTGGACAGCGCAAGCTATTACAGACTATGGCCGCCTCATCGGTGGTCTCCCCATCAGCGTCCTCAAGAACATCTCCGACGACGTCCTCTGTGACAACTGGCAGATGATCAATGAAGCAGACATGTCAAGGGCAGTGGTAATGTACAGTGGGATGTTCAGTGAAATCACTCACCAGCGACAATTACATTACTTTCCCTATACAGTAGTGAACGGGTTTGGTTTATCGTCGCCTAAAATAGTGTTTCAGTTATATAAGTGGGAGTCAGCTTCATGTGGGAGGAGAAATGATGATCAGACGTTTACCATCTTGGGGCGAGCTTCCTGGAAACATAATCATGGATCACAGGATTCTGACGCAGCACCCAGGGATGCAAATCTGCTAATTTAGGCACCTTACACAAATGGGCCTTCTCTGTAAACAGTAAGGGGGCACGGGTGGCACAGTCGTCTGAAGCGCCGCGATTCGCTGTGCACAGTTGCGTCCCTTGGGCACGCCAGAAACCTATGATTGTGGGTTCGAATCCCGGTTCGCCCCGATTATGTTTCTAGGTTTGTCAGCACCATACCCGTGCTCGTGGGTTTCACCGATGTGGTAAACGTCTGAGACCTGCATCACTTCGGGCTTTCCTCCCACATTAAGCTGACACGCCGCGATATAACTGGAATACTGTTAAAAGCGGCGTTAAACTAAACTCACTCACTCACTCACTGTAACCAGTACGAAAATTCGACTTGTCCTGGGATGGCATATAATTCTAAAGTATACCTTCCAGAATTAAACAAGCGTCTCTAGTGTATAATGTAATGCAGATTCCAGGGAAATGGTGGGTACATCACTCCATCATATATTATCTAGCGAAGTACCCGATAGACTCAATTCTTGGATCAATCTCGTCAGGATCTTGTCATTCACATGGCAACATGTCTGCGTCTGTTGTTTTGTTTTATGATTTGAAATTATTACTTGCCGAATATGTTATAACTAACTCCTAAAACAATTTGTCTTTCAGCTGTCTTATATATGGGACAAGTGCAAATCAAAATTTGGAAGTGTGAGTACTCGGAGATGAAAGTATTATTTTTATCAAGAACAATTACGCCATAAGTCTTCTTCTCTTCATTAAATTAAACCCGTGTTCTCGTAATCCAGTCGATCTTATTAGGTGCTTCTTGTTAACATTTGAGACATTCGTCTGATTTCAATGACGTCACTTCCTCTTTCGGTAGCCTTCGGATTACACCTGCGAAGGAATTGTGGAGGTCGGCGTTCTCGTCAAGGTCGTCCCCAGATCCGTCGTCAAAGACATACCAGACGCCGTCATAGCAGGATGCATACAGAGCATGACATCTAAACTGGAACCTGTGTGTCCACGACGTCGAGGCCTTTGCAGACTCATCATGAAGAAGGTACGTTTTATGGTCCATAGACATCTTCCCGCGGTCTTCAGCAACGCACGTTTGTCGTAAAAGGCGACTATGCTTGTCGTAAGAGGCGACTAACGGGATCGGGTGGTCAGGCTCGTTGACTTAAAGCATGTCATCGATCCCAATTGCGTGGAACGATGGCTCATGGTATCAGTCACTGGGTTGTCTGGTCCAGACTTGATTATTTACAGACCGCCGTCATATAGCTGGAATATTGCTGAGTGCGGCGTAAAACAACCAACCAACCAGTCCTCCCGCGGCGAGGGAGTTAACTGACGATATAAGTCCAGTTTCGACCCTTGCCGAAATAGATTGGAATTATGGACTTATATTTTGGCTGGACTAACGAGTCTATGCATAGTCCAATCATAATCACGTAACGAAATCGACATCCGGTTCGTAAACTGCAGTGCAGATTTCGGTCGAATGCAGAATTGGCGAAGCATGTGTACTGTCAACATGTTGTCAACTGAAATTTACAAATCTGTTCATGTTTTTAATCAAGATGCTCACGTGATTTGATGCACTTCGCGAAGTAAGACCCATTTTATTGCAATATAGATCTTGATTATCGATCCGATCGTCTTGGTTGGGCGCCGCCATTTTGTTTGAAGCAAATGAAGAGATAGGTGGAATCTGATTGGTCGAAAGGAGGGATATAGAAGGGACATAACTCGTAATAGCCACTAATGGCGCTACGATCGAGTCTGGAAATTCCAGCCTAGTTCGGCAAGGGTGGAAACTAGACTTATATAGTCAGTTAACTTCCTTGCCTCTGGAAGATGTTCGTGACATGGCAATTATGAATTGGGTTTAATCACAGCTTTAAACAGTATTCCAGTTATATCAGGGCGTGTAAGCTTAATGTGGGAGGAAAATCTGAAGTGATGCAGGTCTCAGACGTTTACCACTTAAGTGACCCCCTGGCATGTGAGGTGTGTGTTTATTCATAATACTGACATGTTATATAGTAATGGGTGTATATACAAGTATGACACATTTTGAACTTCTTAGTTTCACAGCATTAACTATGAACATTGACAGTTCTTTTGTTACAACATTGTAACTTGACATTAAGAAAAAACATTCTGTAAACTAGGATAAAGGATATAATATTTATCAATGAACTATTTTCTGAGTTCAGCACACAACAGACATATAAGTAAGAAATGGTATTCATTTTCTGCAGTGTTTAATCACACAAATGACAAATTCTGTGTTCTCATAAACTCAATGGCATAGGTATGGTGCTGACAAACCTAGAAACATAATCGGGGCGAACCGAGATTCGAACCCACAATCATATAATTCTGGTGTACTCAAAGAACGCACCGAGAATGCGGTATCAGCTATCTTAGGTGTCGTATAAGCCATTAACAGTAATTTTGTTTATAATAATTTAACTTTATCTACTGCACCAACAAATTACAAATGTTTTGATCATCTCCGGTCACCTGTTGACATGAGAAGAACGTGATAATAAGCATCATGTTACTACCTACGTGTGTTTCGTGCCCGAACATGGCTGGAAATAATATGTCTTGACGTATTCAGCGTGTTTAGAATGTAAACCTGTTTAGGTACAAAACGCAAAACCTTTTTTTCCGTTTAGGGTTTAAACGCAATCCTAAACCCGTTTACAGCTAAACATGCCAACTGATATGTCTAATACCTAAACACATATTGTATAGTGTTCTGTATGTTCTTGAAGGTGAAGAACCACGCGATGGCAAACAACGAGACGCTCGGAACTTACATCCGGCAAGTCGGGCCTAACCTTGGCAGGAGTGTGCGTGACCTATCTGGTGTTGACATCACGTCCCTTGGTGGCATTGACAACCTTAAATCCCTTCAATTTTCTAGAGAAACGGTGGGTAGTGAGGGCCTTAAATCGGTTAGTACTTTGGCCTAAAGAGAATTAAATCCCTTCAAATCTCTAAAGAAACGGCAAGTACTGAGGCTTTGAGGGCCTTAAATCGGTTAGTACTTTGGCCTAAAGAGAATTAAATCCCTTCAAATCTCTAAAGAAACGGCAAGTACTGAGGCCTTGAGGGCCTTAAATCGGTTAGTACTTTGGCCTATAGAGAATTAAATCCCTTCAAATCTCTACAGAAACGGTAAGTACTGTGGCCTTGAGCGCCGTAACTACTTTGACAACGTGAAATGCATTCAATTCTCTAAAGAATTGGTAAGTGAGTGAGTGAATGAGTTAAGTTTAATGTCGCTTTTAACAGTATTTCAGTTATATCACGGCATATCAGCTTAATGTGGGAGGAAAGCCCGAAGTAATGCAGGTGTCAGATGTTTTCCATTTGGATGAGACCCACGAGCACGGGAAAGTGCCGACAAACCTAGAAACATAATCGGGGCGAACCGGGATTCGAACCCTCAATCATAGGTTTCTGGCGTGCCCAAGGGATGTAACTCTGCACAGCGAATTGCGGCGCCTCAGTCGACTGGGCCACCCGTGCCCCAATTGGTAAGTAGGATGTCAATAATGGCAGAAAAAGGCGACATATACGAATATCTTCCTCATTCCACATTTAATTGGAAAAATTCTCTTCCATGGCTAGCACCTTCTCCCATATGAGAATGTCCCCACCTCCATTAAACATCTGTCACCCTTCCCAGATTCTCGTCAGGACGGCGGGGTTATCGAATCAGCCGGACGAAAGGGCTCCACTTGATAGAAAACAGGCAAACCGTAAACCTAAAACAATACTGTTATTCTCTTCAGAGTCTTATCTTGACACGTTTAGGTATAAGTTCAACGTTAGCGCCTTGGACACATCTACATAACTTGGGCTATAACGACATCAACTTGTCGAACCTGATCATCTGGGGCAGTCTGTCATTCAGACCCTGAAACAAATATATCAAATACAACCCTTGAAAGTCTATAAAATGTTTGCAAGTCTAAATTATCGTTATCCGAAATGGAAGAAAGTCTCTTATATTTTGTAACTATAATTGAACAACTGTTGTTTTTTTTTAAATAAGTTCATTTCAGAGACTAGATGTTAGTCTACATCTGGGGTTATTTATGCTGTTTTCCAGATACCTTGCACTGCGAGTCAACACTAAGCAAACTCGAATACAACATGGAATGTAATCACTTAATGTTAATTTAAGTCAAATTTTAACGAGACAACATGACACGGATGATGTGAAAATCACCGATGTTTAATTATGACCGATTCTCTCTTACATACCCAGAGGATATATTTAACAACACATTGCATCCCATTTCCTTCTCTACTCTGGAAGCCTACACCCATGCCCTTCTCTACTCTAGAAGCCTACACCCATGCCCTTCTCTACACTAGAAGCCTACACCCATTCCCTTCTCTGCTCTAGAAGCCTACACCCATGCCCTTCTCTACTCTAGAAGCCTACACCCATGCCCTTCTCTGCTCTAGCAGCCTACACCCATGCCCTTCTCTGCTCTAGAAGCCTACACTCATGCCCTTCTCTGCTCTAGAAGCCTACAGCCATGCCCTTCTCTGCTCTAGAAGCCTACAGCCATGCCCTTCTCTGCTCTAGAAGCCTACACCCATGCCCTTCTCTGCTCTAGAAGCCTACACCCATGCCCTTCTCTGCTCTAGAAGCCTACACCCATGCCCTTCTCTGCTCTAGAAGCCTACACCCATGCCCTTCTCTACTCTAGAAGCCTACACCCATGCCCTTCTCTGCTCTAGAAGCCTACACCCATGCCCTTCTCTGCTCTAGAAGCCTACAGCCATGCCCTTCTCTGCTCTAGAAGCCTACACCCATGCCCTTCTCTGCTCTAGAAGCCTACACCCGTGCCCTTCTCTACTCTAGAAGCCTACACCCGTGCCCTTCTCTGCTCTAGAAGCCTACACCCATGCCCTTCTCTACTCTAGAAGCCTACAGCCATGCCCTTCTCTACTCTAGAAGCCTACAGCCATGCCCTTCTCTACTCTAGAAGCCTACAGCCATGCCCTTCTCTGCTCTAGAAGCCTACACCCATGCCCTTCTCTACTCTAGAAGCCTACAGCCATGCCCTTCTCTGCTCTAGAAGCCTACACCCATGCCCTTCTCTATTCTAGAAGCCTACACCCATGCCCTTCTCTACTCTAGAAGCCTACAGCCATGCCCTTCTCTGCTCTAGAAGCCTACACCCATGCCCTTCTCTACTCTAGAAGCCTACAGCCATGCCCTTCTCTACTCTAGAAGCCTACACCCGTGCCCTTCTCTGCTCTAGAAGCCTACACCAAAACCCTTTTCCGCTCTTTGGTTTCTTCATACTCGTGGGTTGCTGTATAATAATTAATTTCACCTTTTGAATAATTACGATTCAAAAGATCAATATTTGATTGTACCAATGACTGTTGTCTTCAGGGGCACGGGTGGCCCAGTCGTCTGAGGTGCCGCAATTCGCTGAGCAGAATTGTGTCCCTTGGGCACACCAGAAACCTATGATTGTGGGTTCGAATCCTGGTTCGCCCAGATCATGTTTCTAGGTTTGTCAGCACCATACCCGTGCTCGTGGGTTTCACCGAAGTGGTAAACGTCTGAGACCTGCATCACTTTGGGCTTTCCTCCCACATTAAGCTGACATGCCGTGATATAACTGGAATACTGTTAAAAGCGGCGTTAAACCCAACTCACTCACTCACGCACTGTTCACTTCAGGCTAACGCTGTATGGAAGAAGGTGACGAGTAGCTTCGGACCCGTGAGCCACACCAACAGGAATTTCTGCGGGACACAGTTTGAGAGGATTGCAGACCTCTTCTTCTCCGCAGCTAGTGATGCGGACTGGGAGAACTTGTGTGAGGATGAGAGTCTCATGGAGAATATCGCCAGGGCGGCCAAACACATCCAACAGCTGTCTGGTAGAGTGGTCAGTACACGAGCTATGGATGTGAATTAGTTGTGGCTGTATAGAATCATATCTACCTCACATTCGCTGTCACTTATGTAACATTTCGTTAGAAATCAGCAGTACGGACAAGCATTCGATGTCTGTTTTTGCGTTAAGTGAGGGACGTCTTCAAAGAGACTTGGAAGCAAATATAAATGCCAGAGAATAATAAGTCTCGATTATTTAGCATATCCTGCTGTACCGGTAGCACCTGCCACTCACACAATTTGCATGATAAAAGTGAGTTTGTTTATTGCCTAACGCCGTACAGCAATACCCCCGCCATACGATGGCAGCATGTAAACACCCGGATGCTGATCAGACAATCAAGTTATAGCGGTGTATACCCTGTCTGGCGCTCGGCATTAAGGGTCTAAAACAAGGACTAGTCGGCTCGGAGTCAGTATACTGTGTCTGAGTGGGGTATTCATGTTAAACTGCGGCATGGTATCTCAGTGAGCTAGCACTATCAATCGGCATCAGTCCGGACTAGTACAAGCAGCCACACACACACATGCATGCACGTCGCTATATAAGTGCAATAATCTTGGACGCGACGTTAATCCCAATTTCACCTCACCAGATAGCGGTGTAGACAATCAGGTGAATCTCAAAGAAACACAAGGTTTGTTGGATCAGACATTTGGAACAATTGGTCTTTGGAATGGTTAGGAATTACCTGTTGGCAGGGCGCAAATATCAAATCCTTATAGTGCCAGGTTGGTTGGTTTAATGTTTTACGCCGCAACTCAGCAATATTCCAGCTTTATGACGGCGGTCTGCAAATAATCGAGTCTGGACCAGACAATCCAGTGATTGATATAATGAGCATCGATACACGCAATTGGGATCGATGACATGCTTCAACCAAGCGAGCCTGACCACCCGATCCCCTTAGTCGCCTCTTACGACAAGCATAGTCGCCTTTTACGGCAAGAATTGGTTGCTGAAGACCTATTCTACCCCGGATCTTCACTGGTCTATAGTGCCAGGACAAACAAGTAATTGTGGACCATGACTTCCAGATCCGAGGTATCGTGAAGAAGCTGATGCGAGTCTTTGGCGCCTCTGGGAAGGTGAAGGATGTATGCATTGACGGCCCTCTTATCGACCAGGTCGGCATGTTCCTCGCCCACGCGCGGTAAGAATGACAGAGTGAGTTAGTTAGGTTTAACGCCGCTTTTAACAGTATTCCAGTTATATCGCGGCGTGTCAGCTTAATGTGGGAGGAAAGCCCGAAGTGATGCAGGTCTAAGACGTTTACCACTTCGGTGAAAACCACGAGCACGGGTATGGTGCTGACAAACCTAGAAACATAATCGGGGCGAACCGGGATTCAAACCCACAATCATAGGTTTCTGGCGTGCCCAAGGGACGCAACTGTGCACAGCGAATCGCGGCGCCTTAGACGACTGGGCCACCCGTGCCCCCGCTCGGTAAGACAGACACTACATCACATAATATATTATAAATAATAATCTCATTGCATAGTTTAAGTACTTTTAAAAATATTTGTTTCAAGTTTTGAAGAAACCAAGGCAAACAACTCTCAGCATTTCGTATACATAGTGCAGTACTTCATTGGGACGTAGTCTTATTTGGTCAATTGATATGTTCAAATTTCATGTTTGTGACGTGTGTCACCTTTTCGCAAACATATGGGGTGCGTTGCAAAGCGCTAATTGCTTGTAAGCGATGTACAGCGATTCGCCTTACAACAGTGCGCTAACTTGGAGCGGCTTGCAAGCGAAACAATAGCTGGCTAAAGTCGCTTCGTTCTCAAACCAAAATGGCGGCTGACATTGACAGCGGAACAAGAAATTCCTGACTGGATCAACGAGGAAATGAGCAAAAGCAGCTAACATTCCACCATCCCCCGTCTGCTCCACATCTTAAAAGTACTCATAAATTTCGTCATCGAGCCTCTTCTATTACGTTCTTCATTACGTCAAGGCAACCAAGCGGTAGTTGCGCCGCCATTTTGGAAGAATGCGCAAGCGCTTCGATCTGTTGCAGACCCAGGGTTGAACGATTAATTTGCTTTCTCCTAGCGATTCGTGGCTTGCAACGCACCCCTGGTATCATCACTTTTTGATAGTCTTTCATAAACATGGGCTTATGGTAAAGTCGGAATCGTACAATGGATTTCTTATGAAAATGGAAAAGGTTTTGTCGCCTTTATTAAGATGCGTTGTATGTTTACCCCAGCGGAAAGGACTTGGTCAAGTTCAGCCGTAAGACCCTGCGGTCAGTGATGCGCGTGGTTGGAGAGAAAAAGGAATATATCGAGAAGGTCACTCGGTCTCAGATGAAACTGTTGACGAAGATCGCACTCAAGGTTCAGGTAAATACGTCAGGGTCCACTTGCACAAAGTGATCTTAGCGCTGCGACTATTGTAAGCCTATGTTAAAGTATGAGTGTTACGATAATCTTATCGCTAAGGTCGCTTTGTGCAAGTGGGCCCAGAACGATTGTGCTTTCATATTCATTTTCAAGCGTTAATGTTCCATTATTTAGAATATTCTTTCGTCAATCACTGAGCTCTGAATTCCTTGCCGTAGGAGACACAGAAAACGTCGTTTTCTGCTGACGACATCGACCTTATCGGCCCCTTCGCCATGTGCGGCATGAGCGCTGGCGACGTCAACAAGATGACCACCGACGCCTTCAAGAAATACGGCATGTACTTTCTGAAGTGTCCCCAGCTGGACGTGACCACGAAGAAGGCCATCGTCAAGAAGCTCTTGGCTGCAGTCACGAAGTAAGGACCAGATTGAATCAAAAAGAACTCTATCACACACACGTACATGCTCATTTGTAGTGAAACAAATGTTTTGGGGAACTGCGGAATTTTTAGGTGACATCAGATCTGAGGCAGTGACCAGTGCCTTGCTAGGGTTCATCACTACTTGCTTATATTACCGGACCTGGGACGACACAGCAACACATCAAGTTAACGAAATGTGTCATCGATATTTGAAACAAAATCAAATCAGAGTCGTGTAAGGACTAACCATTCGATATTCTGGTGTGTGTGTGTGCGTGTGCGTGTGCGTGTGCGTGTGCGTGTTTACGTGCGTGCGTGCGTGCGTGCGTGTGTGGATTTGTTTGAAAAGCACATTTTTATGCTGAAAACACTGGGAAAAATAATTCAGCCTTAGTTTTATAGAGAAACTTGATGTCATAACAAAACAGTGTTTTGAAAAAAATGTTCTGATCCTCCTTTCGTTTTGGAGGCAGTGACAGAAAAAAATATTTTGTCTCTTACACCAATACCAGGTCCCTCCCACGATATCCAATGGTCTGCACGTAAGTACTGACTGAATATATTCTCCACTGAATTTTTCTTATGATCACGGGAATGATTAAACTAGTGATTAGATATGTTAGATATGTTAACGCCATTCAACCATTTCTTTGCAGGATTCAAGCAAGTGACTTGGAAGATCTTGGGGCAGCTATGGTGTTCGCTCTGGACGAGATTCCAGCCACTGACATGAATTTAGTAATTATAATTTATTAAAAGATAACATGTAACAGTATTATATCCCAGAGGACAGCTTACATACTGATAAACCAAACCAAGTTCCATTTTTGTAACTATGTATGACCATCCCTTATAAACAAAAAAAATGAATGCTTATCATACAAACTAGCTTTTCTCTTGCAACATATACTTAGCCAAAATTGATTGCTTTACATAAAGTGACTCACTGTGAAAGTCAATGTATATTCCTTAACATATATTGAAAGGAAAAGTTACTGTTTATGTTTTACTGTCATTAACCTACAATATATTGGCTTCAATTGAACACGAAACAATCCCGACATGTGTTGGCGAACACTGAACACACTGTGCACTGAAAGTATGTTCCGTCCTCCAGGCCCTGAAGGAGGAACTGGTCTCAATCCTCCAAGGGGTGATGGAGAAGGTGTCTGAGTTCCGTGAGGAACAAGAGAAGAGAGACAACAGGGACATCGGTACGGAGGAAAAGACGACATACATGACGGCGGTGAAGAAGGCCTCTGGGGACTTGTGGAACTTTGCCATCGAGGTGACCACAGCCAACCAGCAGCAAGCTGCCAGAAGGAAGAGGGCGACAGGTAGGTGGACGGTGAACCTCCCTCACAGCAGACCTAGGACAGAGGGCGACAGGTGGGTGTGGGTGTAGGTGTCAACCTCCGTTACATCAGAGGTCTGTACAGGAGGAAGAGGGCGACAGGTCGGTGGACGGTGAACTTCCCTTACAGCAGACCTAGGGCAGAGGGCGACAGGTGGGTGTAGGTGTAGGTGTGGGTGTCAACTTCCGTTACATCAGAGGTCTGTACAGAAGGAAGAGGGCGACAGGTAGGTGGACGGTGAACCTTCCTCACAGCAGACCTAGGACAGAGGGCGACAGGTGGGTGGATGGTGAACCTCTCTTACAGCAGACCTAGGACAGAGGGCGACAGGTGGGTGTGGGTGTAGGTGTAGGTGTCTACCTCCGTTACATTAGAGGTCTGTACAGGAGGAAGAGGGCGACAGGTAGGTGTACGGCCAAACTAACAGCAGGCTCAGGACAGTGGTCAGTTTCAGTAGATATGGTCTGACGTGTTCTCCCGATATCAATAAGATTTGTTTCTATGTTTCTTATAGGAATGGAGACGTGTGTCTCAATTTATTTAATTTATTTAAATGATTTACTCCAGGTCGGTCTTTTGAGAAGATTTGGACAAGGTGTTTTTTGTGTCAGACAAATATTTTCAAGGTTTAAGGTGCCTAAGGAAAAAGTCCTGAAACCTGGTTTACCAATTTACACTGCGTGATACCACGTCCTGGTATGTTCCAGGTAGTGGCGACTGCACGACTGTCTCTGAGTTCGGGAGCAACTTGGACTTCCTTACAGCCAGCCAAATCGCCGGTCTGGCTCCAGCTGAGGTGGGAGGTTGTCTGGCCCAACTGTCCACGACGAAATGGAACGCTGCTCAGTGTGCTGCACTCAGGGATCAGCTCATGCACGTCAGTACAACATCGCACAACGATAGAGCACCCCAAAGGCTGTCTCGCTCACGTACATGTCTCACCAACACAAGCTGAGCTTGTGATATATCTCATACAGATGACAGTAACGAAATATATCTCATTCACATCTATAGAACATCAGGTATATTTTATGTATATCATTTAAAAATCTGACATATCCCATACAGACGGGTAGATGTGCTGACCTACATCAGATATAAATCGATGGAACACCAAGTGTTCACGAATGTAAAGCAAAGACAATTTCGCATACACATTGAGACATATCTTGTGTGCACCTCATGAATATGGGTAGAATATTTCACATATTCGTATCGGTAGAGCATCAAGCATATCTCATGCACATTGGTAGAGCATCAAGCATATCTCATGCACATTGGTAGAGCATCACGCATATCTCATGCACATTGGTAGAGCATCAAGCATATCTCATGCACATTGGTAGAGCATCAAGCATATCTCATGCACATTGGTAGAGCATCAAGCATATCTCATGCACATTGGTAGAGCATTAAGCATATCTCATGCACATTGGTAGAGCATCAAGCATATCTCATGCACATTGGTAGAACATCAAGCATATTTAATGCACATTGGTAGAACATCACGCATATCTCATGTACATTGGGAGAGCATCAAGCATATCTCATGCACATTGGTAGAGCATCAAGCATATCTCATGCACATTGGTAGAACATCACGCATATCTCATGCACATTGGTGACCGCCTCCGTGGTCTAGTGGTAGAGCGTCCGCCCGGAGAGCGGAAGGTCCAGGGTTCGATCCCGGGCCGTGTCATACAAAAAGACGTTAAAAGATTGTACTTGTTGTTACCCTGTCTGGCGTTCGGCATTAAGGGGCTAAAACAAGGACTGGTCGGCTCGGAGTCAGTATACTGTGTCTGAGCGGGGTATTCATGTTAAACTGCGGCATGGTATCTCAGTGAGCTAGCACTATAAATCGGCATCAGTCCGGACTAGTACAAGCAGCCACACACACACATACACGTGCATGCACGTCGCTATATAAGTGCAATAATCTTGGACGCGACGTTAAACCCAATTTCACCTCATGCACATTGGTAGAGCATCAAGCATATCTCATGCACATTGGTAGAACATCACGCATATCTCATGCACATTGGGAGAGCATCAAGCATATCTCATGCACATTGGGAGAGCATTAAGCATATCTCATGCACATTGGTAGAGCATCAAGCATATCTCATGCACATTGGTAGAGCATCAAGCATATCTCATGCACATTGGTAGAACATCACGCATATCTCATGCACATTGGGGGAGCATCAAACATATCTCATGCACATTGGGAGAGCATCAAGCATATCTCATGCACATTGGTAGAGCATCAAGCATATCTCATGCACATTGGTAGAACATCACGCATATCTCATGCACATTGGTAGAGCATCAAGTATATCTCATGCACATTGGTAGAACATCACGCATATCTCATGCACATTGGGAGAGCATCAAGCATATCTCATGCACATTGGGAGAGCATCAAGCATATCTCATGCACATTGGGAGAGCATCAAGCATATCTCATGCACATTGGTAGAGCATCAAGCATATCTCATGCACATTGGTAGAACATCAAGCATATCTCATGCACATTGGGGGAGCATAAAACATATCTCATGCACATTGGTAGAGCATCAAGCATATCTCATGCACATTGGTAGAGCATCAAGCATATCTCATGCACATTGGTAGAGCATCAAGCATATCGTTTGCACATCGGTAGACCTTATCATGCCTCATTCACATCAGTAGATCATCAAACATAGCTCATGCACACTGGTAAAACATAAGGGATGCTTTTTTCCCTTTATCTGGCTATATCAGGTTACCTTGTGTTACTCTGTTCCCTTGTAGGCCGACGCCCTAGGCAGCGATGTCAAAACCTGGGGCAAAACCGACGTCCAGGCTCTTGGTACAATGGTGGACTGTCTGACGTCACAGGAGGTCCAGTCTCTGGACGTGGATGATGAGGTCCTCCAAGCGCTGGGCGCCATGCCACTTGCTAAGGTATGTCATGCCCAACGTTGCTTGTCTGATTAAGTGAGTGAGGGAGTTGGGTTTAACGCCGCTTATAATAGTATTCCAGTTATATCGCGGCGTGTCGGCTTAATGTGGGAGGAAAGCCCGAAGTGATGCAGGTCTCATACGTTTACCACTTCGGTGAGACCCACGAGCACAGGTATAGTGCTGACAAACCTAGAAACATAATCGGGGCGAACCGGGATTCGGACCAACAATCATAGGTTTTTGGTGTGACCAAGGGACGCAACTCGCACAGCGAATTGCGGCGCCTTAGACGACTGGGTCACCAGTGCCTCCTTGTCTGATCAACACACACTTACTTACAAGCTACGTGCCATGACAGAAATATCTATAACTGCGGCCTTAACCAACATCCAGCATTTGGAAGCGTCAATTTAACACAAATACTGACACATCAATCATTGCAAGTTACAGCAACAAAACCAGGTGTTACCAAAGTAAATTTGGGATTCGAACCCACGATCATCCATTAGCCTAAAAGGCGCATATCTCCACAGCGAATTGCGGTCCCTTGGGCAACTGTGCCACCCCTTTAAGGCTCTGAGCTTACAGTAAACTACGTTTATAGCGAACACCCTTCTAACGAACTGACCGATATAACGAACTATTTTTAGTACCGACCATACAATGTATTTATGCTGTACATATGCTTATAACGAACTACGGTTATTACGAACTGAACTAAGTGGTCCCTTTGAGTTCGTTATAAGCGTAGTTTACTGTAATTTGTGTGATAATGAAACCATGAATAGTTGTTTTTCACTCTGAGCGAGAAATGATATATTCTGACGGAAATAAAAACCGGATAATGTTACATGATTCATAAGCTGTTCCCAATAGAATCACGAGGCAGAGAAACACTTTATTCAGTGTAAGAATGTTCATTATAAATTACATTGGTACTATGTGTTCACGTCACTTACTTGATAACGATGTTAATATCTACGCCGAAACACCGCATTCATTGTAATTAGAAGCTTTATATCCATAGAACAATCTCCCTTGTTCATCATACAACTTCTAATGTCACTTAAAGAAGTAGGTATATAATGCCACGATGATTTCAAATGAGTAACGCCCGCTTGTGTGTGTGTGTGTGTCTCAGTCAGCCGATGTGATGGTGGCCTACCTGAACAAGACGGGAGCTGACCTGACGACGTTGGACGATGAGACTCTGGGAGACATGGGCAACATGGTTTGTGGCTTCACAGCAGCTCAGATTGGGGACATGCAACAGACGGCCGTACAGTAAGTCTACACGTGACCATTTACAGCATCTTCCCGAGGCAAGAGAGTTAACTGACTATAAAAGTCCAGTTTCCACCCTTGCCGAACTAGGCTGGTATTATGGAGTTACATTTTGGCTGGACTAACGAGTCTTGGCATAGTCCAATCAAATTCGCGCACCGAAATCGAAATCCAGTTCGTAAACTGCCGTGCAGATTTCGGTCGATTGCAGGATTTGCAAAGCATGTGCACCGCTAACTCGTTGTCAGCAGATATTTTCCAAGTCTTTTCATGTTTTTAATCAAGGTGCTCACGTGATTTGATGCATTTCGCGATGTAAGACCCGTTTTTTCACAATATAGATCTTGATTATCGATCAGATCATCTTGACTGGGCGTCACCATTTTGTCTGAAGCAAACGCAAGTGATACGAGTGGTGGAATCTGATTGGTCCATAGGAGAGGTTTAGAAGGGACATAACTGGTAATGGCCACTGGTGGCGCTACGATCGAGCCCAGTAATTCCAGCCTAGTTCGGCAAGGGTGGAAACTGGACTTTTATAGTCAGTTAACTCTCTTGTTTTGGGAAGATGATTTACAGTCACTGAGGGGAGATTACCGCCGGGATTCCGGGTTAGAATTGGTCCCTAGCAACCTATGCTTGTTGTGAGAGGCGACTTAATAGATCGGGTGATCAGGGGTGTTGTCCTCGTACCCCGACGACGTTGGGCGTTGCTGAATACTGATGGTCTATCTGGACTAGACATGAATATTTACAGGTCGCCCTTACATAGATAGGATATTACTGAGTGTGGAGTTAAACACAAACACACAGACAGTGAGTACAGACTGTTATTACTACAGCTAAACCACCACGGTCTGGAGAATAGATCCCTGAGTGAGTATGGTTTTACGCCGCTTATAGCAATATTCCAGCAATATCACTGATGGGGACACCAGAAATGAGCTTGTGTCAAGATTCCGGGTTAGAATTGGTCCCTAGCAACCTATGTTTGTTGTGAGAGGCGACTTAATAGATCGGGTGATCAGGGGTGTTGGCATCGTACCCCGACGACGTTGGGCGTTGCTGAATACTGATGGTCATCTGGATTAGACATGAATATTTACAGGTCGCCGATACAAAGTTATATTTTTATAGGATATTACTGAGACAGTGAGTACAGACTGTTGTTATTACAGCTGAACCACCACGATCTGGAGAACAGATCCCAGAGTGAGTTTGCGTGTATTCCAGCAATATCACGGCGGGGGACACCGGAAATGGGCTTCACATATTGTAGCCATGTTGGGAATCGAGCCCGGGTCTTCGGCGTGACGAGCGAACGCTTTAACCACTAGGCTACCCGACCGCCCAACAGATCCCAGACCAGATATACAGTTCATAACATGAGCAAATCGATTCACTGTGGAAAAGAATAAAAGGCGAACATTGTCAACATACTCCAGTCATGTGTATTGTGTAAGGTTTTGTATATTACCAGCGAGGCAGCCAAGGACCTCAACACTGTGCAGTGCATGGACCAGACCCAGCTGACTGCCGTGGGCAGCAAAGTCGTGGCCGTGGAGGGGTCGGACTGGAGCGGCAAGGATGCTGCTGTGGTCGGGGAGTTCGGGGTGTTTGTAGGTGAGTATGCGACGGACCCGGTTTATCAGACTACTGGTAGGACAACGTAAGGAATTATTTAAGAAATAAAGGACTAGTGGGAGTTGTTACATTATAAACCGCTAGTGACGTCATCCTTTTGTTCTCAAGTTGGGTTAAATATCATAAACAGTGATGTTATAATATCCCCGGGATTTTATTAATACAAGTTCCGTTTATTGTGACTAAGGAATTTTTCTCGTTAGAAATATATTTTGCATTTTAACACAATATTATGAAATATAAAATCAAATGATAAATGTTTTCATTATATACCCGCGGATCGAACTCGCAACCATCGTATCTGTAGCCCAGGCAAGGCTAACAAGTCACAATGCCATTAAGAATGTCTTTTTCAAGTAACTGCACGCCAGCAACAGATATTTTACGCCCGTTTCCTAACGTTCGTGAAAAGTATATTTGAAACATAAAATGTCGATAAATTTTGTTTTAAGTTCCTTTTTTTCGGTTTATAAGTTAGATAACAATTCCCCTCGGCCTTTTTATGAGATTTAAGACCTTGGTTTTATACCTTGGATTCGGGTTCATCTCATAAAAACCCTCTGATATGTTTTATCCTACACATAAAACACCGCAGGAAGAATAAACCACGAGTCGTTTATTTCTTATATGAGATATCAACATTACGTACAGCCTCTTTAAGGATGTTGATAAAATGTACAAGCTTAAAAAATATTTAACCAAATTATATTTAATGATGATTCCCTGAATAGAATCCGACCTCGGAAATGTCGGACAAGTCCATTTTATGAACAGGTGGGTTAAGTTTGGTATTTTCCTCACGTCGATCATCTGTACCTTTTCTCCTTATGCCTAATGACATATCTCTCCCACCTGTGGATGCGATCGTTCGGCCACTGCGTGTATCTGCGTAAACCAACCACGTCTATGGGGAACAACTTACAAGACACTTCCCTCTAAAAAATAACGTTGTCCAATATGACGCCATCAAGTTGCAAGCGCATATTCGATTCTCCAGAAATGACGTCATGATAGAACAATGTTTTATCGTGAATTCTATTATGACATCGAAGAATACTTGATTCTGATTGGGTAAAAAGAGGTTTCCTTTTTGCTACGTAAACCCGTGTAAATATATTAATCCTTTTCACACACACAAAAAACGTGTGTATGAATACATCGATTGTTTCTTTGACAACCAGGTCTCTTATGCACGCCTGATCAGCGGCTCTAGCGAAATTAATACACGGTCTAGCGAGGAAATACGGTATTTTGATATCCATGGTTTTTTTTACAGATATGATGTTCACGGCCGTAATAACTGCTCCGATAATGAGATAAAAAGCCTTAAACAAAGACATATCTTGCATACAAAAGATAATGTTTGTGAAATTGTTAGGGAACAGGCAAATTCCTCATTGAAACAACCGACAATGAATGTAAAATATAACATTATAAAACGTATTTTAAAATCTATCTTTATTCATGACAACATGTCGTTTACCAAAATGTGTGTGATCGATATCCATTGCCGTTTCCGTCAACCACCGCCGTAAGGATTTGGCAGATGCCATCGGAAAACACTCCACCCTTCGAAAGCCCAAACAGTGCACAGCAGATTGCGACGAATGTAAAACAGTTTGGAGGGTTATTTGCTAACTTCTTTTTGAAAAACTATGTGTTTTGAACACTTATTTTGAACTAGTCAAGACTATGGGTATTTGAATATTGAAATATAGTAATATGTGTTACAAATATTACTACCTGCGACCGACCCGTGAAGATTCCGGGGTAGAATAGGTCTTCAGCAACCCATGCTTGCCGTAAAAGGTGACTATGCTTGTCGTAAAAGCGACTAACGGGATCGGGTGGTCAGACTCGCTGACTTGGTTGATGCATGTCATTGATCCAAAATGCGTGGATCGATGCTCATGATGTCAATCACTGGATTGTCTGGTCCAGACTCGATTATTTACAGACCGTCGTCATATAGCTGGAATAATGCTGAGTGCGGCGTTAAACAACAAACAAACCAACCAACTACCTGCGACCCGTTTTCGGAATGTTCTAAGATAGGGGACCTTTGTACCCGGTGTAGTTGCTGCGAGAGAGCAGCGTTTTCAAAGCGCTGTTGCCGTCAAGGTAGAATTGAGATAAACCTACTTTAAAATTTGATGTAGTCTCACTGTAAAGTAGATTACTCTTGTTTATACATGTTATCTCCGAAATAAGGACAGCCTCCGTGGTCTAGTGGTAGAGCGTCCGCCCGGAGAGCGGAAGGTCCGGGGTTCGATCACCGGCCGCGTCATACCAAAAGACGTTAAAAGATGGTACTTGTTGCTACCCTGTCTGGCGCTCGGCATTAAGGGGCTAAAACAAGGACTGGTCGGCTCGGAGTCAATACTGTGTCTAAGTGGCGTATTCATGTTTAACTGCGGCATGGTGTCACAGTGAGTTAGCACTATATATCGGCATCAGTCCGGACTAGTACACACACACACACACACACACACACACACACACACACACATGTCGATATATAAGTGCAATAATCTTGGACGCGACGTTAAACCCAATTTCACCTCACCTCACCTATCTCCGAAATACACCACGCTCCGTCTTTGCGATTTATCAATGGACCAGCATGAGTATCACTATGTTCTGTAGACGTGTTGATTTATACTGTGCTGTGTTAACAGTGAACCAATCTGTACGTGTGCGAGTTTAAGGGCTCCCCACACTAAACAAGCTCTGTGGCAGGGCTGTGCAATGCAGTGCGTAGGCGCGTTTCACTTTAACCCACACTTGGGCAGCGATTCAGTTGTCGATTGTTTGTTAACGAAATATAGAAAGTAACTTACATTTTTAAGACATACTCTAGCAGATCATAAATGTGCAAAGGGATTATATTTTAATTAATTAAATGGACAAAGTTCTAGCCTGTGTTAAGAGGTATTTCGGCGTCTCTGGAATGCTTTATGTCAATGACATACAGACACTGATGTTTCAACAGAATTAATAATACTTCATTTTTTGGCATAATTTTGTCTTTAATATGTATTTGTCAAACCACATGTTTTCTCACCCTCAAATGACATCATAAAAAGGGGGATTTCTCAAAGCGCCGGGGCAGCAAGCAGTAAAAAAAGCTTGTTTTTGCGATTTAAAAATAAATCTGCCAAAGTGATGTGGCTACTGAGTATTGTATAGGCCGTGAGAAGAATCTCCAAGTTCTATATGTTTGTTTGTTTGTTGTTTAACGCCGCGCCCAGATATATGACGGCGGTCTGTAAATATTCGAGTCTGGACCAGACAATCCCGTGATTGACATCATGAGCATCGATTCACGCATTTTGGATCAATGACATGCATCAACCAAGTCAGCGAGCCTGATCCCGTTAGTCGCCTCTTACGACAAACATAGTCTCGCCTTTCGGGAAGCATGGGTTGCTGAAGACTATTCTACCCCGGATCTTCACGGGTCCCGAGTTCTATGTATTGTATTTGTACTCCAGGTGGACTTCCCCAGAACACCCTCAGCTCGTTCACCAATGAACACATCAAGGAGATAGAACCAGAAGCTATCTCCTCCATGCCCCCAGCTACCCTGGCCAGTGTGAGTATTGGGAACAATAAACACAAATGAACATCGTATACAATTGTTATATATGTCACACGCAACAATAAGTTTGTTTGTTGGTTGTTTAACGCCACATTCAGCATTATTCAAACTATATGGCGGCGGCCTCGTAATAGTCGAGTCTGGACCAGACAGTTCAGTGATTGATATCATGAGCAACGATCCACGCCGTCAGGGTACGATGACACAATGTCGCCGACGCTGACAACATGATCCATTATGCCGCCAACTCGTGTTATTCCGGAACAAGCCGATCGTCTTGCAGGTTATACGGAAAGGGGCGAGTGGTGACGAATGACCATCATTAAATACACTCTCACACTAACACCGTTGGTGTTTGACCTCAAAGGCGCTCTCACTATGGATAGTAGAAAAGTGTATGTTTGTTGACTTCACGGAGTCAGAAATATATCAGATTAAATAGTACATGAATTTTATAGTTACTGATGCTATGCGTGCTGTAGGCGTTCACGGCCGACGAGCTGGCCCAGCTGACGACCGAGCAGAGTAACGCTGTCTCGGATCTCCAGAAGCAGCAGCTGAGTCCCGCCCAGAAATCCATCATCGAAGAGTCCGCCTCCTTCAACGTGGTTCTCAGTATCGTGGACACCCTAGATCCAAATAACGGTAATACTGTGTTATACCTGATAAACTTACTTTAAGTGTGTTTCTTCGAAACACAGGATCAGATGTACCGTCTTCTATTGCAAGTACAGATTAAACCGTCCATGCAAATCAGATGGTATCATTTCCAGGCAAAACAAGTAGACACAGTTGAAAGGCCTCGTCATATCACGATTCAATCATGTTCTATGAAATAGCGGGGACACGGGTGGCCCAGTCGTCCAAGGCGCCGCGATCCGATGTGCAGAGTTGCGTCCCTTGGGCACGCCAGAAACCTATGATTGTGGGTTCGAATCCCGGTTCGCCCCGATTTTGTTTCTAGGTTTGTCAGCACCATACCCGTGCTCGTGGGTTTCGTCGAAGTGGTAAACGTCCGAGACTTGTATCACTTCGGGCTTTCCTCCCACATTAATCTGACACGCCGCGATATAACTGGAATACTGTTAAAAACGGTGTTAACCCCAACTCACTCACTCACTATGAAATAGCGGTTTTTACGATAATATGGCTTACAGGTTTACGTTGTAAATGTTGAGTTCGAATAGAACTGCCATATTAAACATGGACTAACCTCCACTGTCGTTCTTGTTTTCAAGGGCTCACAATTAACTGTGCAGCGGTGCACCCCTAAGGCTAACCAAAGCTATCTCATTGCATCACGATTCGTCGCGATTGTGTTTCTTTGTTTGTTTGCACCATTTCCGTGTTTGTGGGTATCCTATAGATGGTGTCCCTTTCATGATGAGTTTTTACGCCGCTTTTAGCAATATTCCAGCAATATCACGGCTGGGGACACCAGAAATGGGCTTCACACATTGTACCCATGTGGGAATTCGAACTCGGGTCTTCGTCATGACGAGCGAACGCTTTAACCACTAGGCTACCCCACTGCCCCTCTTTAATGAGGAAGGCAAGGGAGGACATACATTGGGGCATATTTTGTAATATTCTGTCCAGAAGATCTGTATTCAGCGCCCGTTATGCCCTCATGGTTTAAAGTAATTTGTAAATGTGTTGCACAAACCATACTGAAATATATACGATATTTTAACATGCCCTTTACTCTTTACTCTGAACAAACTTAACACTATTGTATAGATTATTATTGCTAAAAATTCACGTGGTTTTGCTTTGGCTTCTTTTCAGGGGCAAGTGTCCGCCATCTTAGCCTCGTTTTGGCTACGATCTGGTCCGCTGTCGCTATTGCCTTATTTTAAAGGGTACACTGTGGGTTTGACCAAGGACGCATATTTTTACTGATACATTTCACACATTGATTGTGTTCAACCCTGTTTCTATTTGTCATTTATTTTGTCATGTTTTTAAACGGTGTGTCACCGAACTCTGAGATAGTCATAGCGTCATAGCTGTTGTTAAAGAGGGGATAATCTCGGCCAGTTGGCAGTCCCAGCAAATTTGATTTACGTCTATCAAAACCCAAACTGCTGATGTATAATGCACAAAAGAAGTAAAGGAACACCCGATTTCTTTTCATATTACTAGTTAATATGTCATGGCTAGTGGCATTTGCAACACAGCCTTCCAATTGTGGGTGTTTAACTTGTTTTGAGTACTAGTATATATTCATCTGGCAGTTGATAATTACCCATAGACAATGCCCCATCTATAACGTATAGTCTGGGTTGGAACTCGGCGGCCGACAGTGAGGCAGCGTCCCACTTTAATAACCTCACGCTTTCAACAAAAAGACTTTTTTTATGTGACGTCTCGCAACGCTAACGAGAAGAATGATAAAATTATAACATGTAGTTCTTCAGTCCGTCCACATACCATGCCGTCTCGTTATAATTGTCTCCCTGTATCCATGGCAGTATTGCGGGTATTTCTTTACAATTGAAGTCAGTAAATAGTTGAAGATCCGGGGTAGAACAGGTCTTCAGCAACCAATGCTTGCCGTAACAGGCGACTATGCTTGTCGTAAGGGGCGACTAACGGGATCGGGTGGTCAGGCTCGCTGACTTGGTTGATGCATGTCATCGTATTCCAGTTGCATGGATCGATGCTCATGATGTCAATCACTGGATTGACTGGTCCAGACTCGATTATTTACAGACCGCCGTCATATAGCTGGCATATTGCTGAGTTGCGGTGTTAAACAACAAATAAACAAACAAACAAAAGTAAATATATTCAGGAAATTCCGTCCCACCAACAATGACAATATTTCAGTTTGACATTATATGGTGTTAGAGTGAGATTCGAATATTCACGTGTAGTCAAACATAAAGCGTTCTTGTGATAGTCAAACATTATGTGTATTGTTTTCACAGAAAAACATAATGCCAACGGCGTGTTACGCTAAACTGAACCTATTTATAGGATGGCCATGGCCAATACTGACATGTTGGGGGAACTTAATCCGAATTAATAAAAACTTCGTTCAGGCGCTATATGTCTACATGGTTTCGACTACGTGCATCTTGGTTACTGTTTATATGGATATAGAAGACATGGTTTGGTGAATATACAAAAACTTTATTCCCTTGATGTGCTTAAAACTCTTCAATAACGACACGGCTATATTGGTCGAATAAAAATGTATAATTCATCATCTCTTTGTTGTTTTTTTGGTCATTTTGTAGTCATGGCATGAACAACTAATACTAACAACATTTGCTATTCAGGAAGTCTATTTGGGTGATACAGGACTACAGGTTTACCACTTCGGTGAAACGCACGAGCACGGGTATGGTGCAGACAAACCTAGAAACATAATCGGGGCGAACCGGGATTCGAACCAACAATCAGAGGTTTCTGGCGTTCCCAAGGGACGCAACTCTGCACAGCGAATTGCGGCGCCTTAGACGACCCCCCCCCCCCCCCCCCACACACACACACACACCAACCCCCAACCCCAATTCCGGTCCATATGTTAGTACTTAACAACTGACTAAAAATGCTTAATCGAAGACTTTTAGGATTACGTCACATGTTTTACTGTGCAGATCAAGAAAAGAACATGAAAAATACAGAATTAAGAATCAATGAAACTTTTAATGAAACTATAACACATATCTCCACTTCAAACAGAATTATACTATATCACAAAGCTGAAAGACAAACGTTTCAGAAGTGCATTGTAAATTCAGAATTTTAATGTGTAATCTGAAATTGAGCATATAAAATGACATTAATAAAAAAAGACATAACTTGCAAATTTAAAGTCCATATATTTGAAGAATACAAAATGTTGAATACAATGTGCCTAACTACTACTACAAACACATACAACCACAACTCTCAATGTGCTGAAGAAAAGTCGTACTACGACGAGTCACATATATGATTGGAAAAACAGAAATATGCTGAAACTAGTTCCGATTTTTGTTGTGGTTATCTTCGATTCACTGATGTCACAAGGCTTAAAGGGTACATATTTTGTAGCGTGCCACAGTATTCCGAAAGAAAATTTACTTCTTTTCCATATACCATCAGTGTTGTACAACAATAAAAATACAATGATGGACTCTTGTCTACATCTGATTATGTAAATGTACAAAACTCAAGATAAATAACAAAAACGTTATTTATCATAAAAAATAAAATCAGATTTATGTTTAATTCAACTATTACTGTTCATAATGTAGGCAATGGTATTTCCATACGTGTATTCAATGGTGCTATCACTGATTTTCAGTGATCCATTCATATAATTTTCATCACTATTTTGGCACTTACGCCCAGTGAAATCTGTTTTGGCAGACAATTGAGACTGATCATTCTCTGGCGTTGACGTTTGTTATTTACGAGCATAACATATTATTTGCACTCAATTTGTATGACCGTCACATAAAATTACGTAAGCGTCTTTTCCACCCGGAAACACCTGTACATGACAGTACCAATATTTCAACTCATATAGATCTACACTACTAAAATAATTTGATCCCGTGAACCTTTGCCGGTGTACCGATATAAACTCTCCTCAATACACATTCTCCCCCCGGAGATTTTATACCGGTACAGATTCTCCCCCGGAGAATCTGTTCTGAAATAAAATCTCCCCCGGGCGGATATATTTCGCGCCCCCCTCAGTATAAAGTCTCCCCCATGATTATTCGGTTTGTTGCAATGTCTTTAAGTACTATATTCCTTAAATAGTTATCTTTAATGTAAGGAGGGTTACTTTAAAAAATAGATTATGAACTATGGTCATAATGAATTGATATTTCAGCATATTTTATTTGGTAATTGTACCTTCCATCCGAAAATAATTATAAGACATAATCATACCAAACAAATTTGAATGAAATGACTTAATGTAACAAATACATGTACGGTTACTGTTGTAACTGAATTCAGAAATCTTATTAATCCTCGCAAACATTCGGTTTTAACACTAACTACGTAAAAACTGTCAGCATATCCACGCGCGCCTCCAACTCAGGCTGTCCGTTATTCTCTGATTTAAGATCTAAAATATATTCCTTGATACGGGATACGATATGAAAATGGTATCAGTGGCTAGAATATCATGGTGCAACCAGGTTTCTGTTAAACATACAACATCATAACTATCTAATTCAGCACTGATTAAATCTACTTTGTCTTTAAGATTGCGTTCGTTTAGATGTATAATCTTTAAATCTGGACTATGCAAAGGTCCTGGATACGGATGGATATCACCGCAGCAGAAGAGAAAAAATAAAACTAAGAATGATAATCGGAAATTATATAAGCAAAGTAACCCAAAACATAGAGAAATGTGTATCATCTTCCCGAAATGATTGGCATGTAGAATAGATTCAAAAACACCCACCGCCAGCCAACATCAACCGGCATCGTCAAAGCAAAGTGTACATGTAATTGTTACAATCGGACTGGCGGTGAATCTTAATGAAGAACACCTTGTTAAAAAGACACACCGAAACTGATTTGCATAACTGAAGACTACAACATATTACAAAATATCAAAACAGTAAAAATGATACAGTATAACCTCATACTGAAGAGAAAACAAGAACAACACAGAGAAGTAAAATAGCACGTCATATAGAAATGAGATAAAGTAATCTGAGAAGGGGTTCATACGTTATATACAACTTAAACAAAATATTATTATGAAAAACGAAAGGAAAAGTGCCCCCACCCGAAAACCCCCGCAAAATCAATAAAAATAAAAATCACCAAATAAAAAAACCCAACCCACACACACAAGTAACTAAATGTATATTTAGATAAATATATTACCCAGAACAAATAAAGGAGAGAAAAAAAATAAAATTTAAAAAACCACAAACAAATAAACATTAACACCTAGAGGAATATGAAAAGCCAATGTGTAATGCTAAAGCACGAAGACACGATAAACTGTACATTACATTACATCATATACAATGTTCCCCGATATGCATGCTTTACCTGGGTTACATACGGGTGATCTAAGTTAGAAATATATTACTGATATAAATTCTTTAAACACGGTAATATCGAATTTACTTTGATTATCTTTTTTTAAAATGTGCTCCATTCAAGAAAAGTTGTATATAGAATTATTTATTACCCACGTGGTGAAGATACAGGTGGTAAGATACTAAATCCGTACGTCACACGTGTGTCGTACAAGGTTGACCTTGTTTTATTCGTTTTGATTGGATAACCGTGACTACTTTTTTCATTAATAAAAAATCGCGAGACGTCGTTCATTTTGCGACTACAAGGCAGAACTGAAGAAATTAATGAGAACGAGAGATATTTACAAACACTTTATTAAACCAAACAAAATAGTAACACGCATCAAATTCGGTTTGCATTCTATATATAAGTTATGCATAGATATAAAAAATAGATAGATACCATTTTAATTACAGATTCCTTTGTTTTGATTTTAATGCAAACAAACCAGGCTTTACAATGTATTTTGTTTCAACAGATTTTTATACATAAATATATCAATGGGGATTGACAAACAAGCTTTACTGGCTTATGTAAAAGCCGCCGCCCTTTAGGCTGAGTTTCCATGTGCGAGGTTTGCCACGCGGTTTGGGGCATGTTTAGGGAGGCGGTTGAAATGCTATGCAAAAACTATGCTTATAAGTTCGGCGACTTAGTTTCATTTATGATGTAGTATTTCAATAGGCGCGGTTATAGGACCGCTCGGCTAAAAAAAATCGGTCCGACATTTAGGCAACGCCCTCAACTATTGAACTGCAAGGCAAGTATTTATAAAACGACCGGGGTAGGAAATATTCTTAGGGGAGATTTTATTTCGTAGGGTGGGGGAGAGTCTATTTCGAGGGGCGGAACTGTACCAGTATAAATTCGCCGGGGGGGGGGGGGGGGGGGGGGAGATTTTATTCTGGGGGCGACACCGGAACTACTTTCCGGGGTTTCCCCCGAATTGTCGATCGGCGTTTACGATCAACTCGTTTTTCTATTTTCTTTTTAATACCTGCATTTATCTGCAATATAATTAATTAAGTATTTTTGCCTGGTCTTGTAACATTTCATGTGACTTATAAATAAGTAAACGCTTTGGTTCTGGTGATTGATGTCGTCTATAGCTGCCTTATGAAACAAAATGTGATTTGGATATGGAATGGCTATCTTTCAATACTAAATTTAGATCTAATGACGCAAGTGAAGAAAATTAATTCTGTAAAATTACTGAGGTGAACGAAATTAATTTATTGAGCGATACTGACTTTGATGCCTTGTTTTCGGAAATGACAGGAATCTAGCACAAATGAAAACAATTTCGTATCCTGCTCATACGTTTCGGGAAAAAATCTAAGATTTTGAGAAAACATAAAAAGGTAAGGAAAGAAACTTAAATTTAAAAAAACAAACAAAACTTGACTACCTGTTTTATCGATTGGTCATCGGAGACGAGAAAATATCCGTAGGCGGAATTAGAAGTCTACTATTCCGGTTTCTGAGTTAGCCGATCCTTTCCGTGCGATCTAGGCCGAGAAGCGGCGGCACATGAGGAGTTACGGGGCACAGTTATGAAGCTGGCATCAGGTCATACAGTAGGTCCATCTCAAGTGACAAGAAACACCAGCTAAGCAAAGTATTACAGCACACGCGACAAATCCCAAACTCCAAATATAACACACCCTGACGTTGAAAATTAACACAAAACACACAGGTTTCAGAGCACTCAGTTCAATCCCAGCCAGTCCATTCCGCATCGTCCGCATTGGTTTGCGATTATCCAAACACAAGCAACACATTCATAAATCGGTGATATTCCAAATTTGCTAGTGCCACGGGAGGGTTCAAGCGTCGGGGTGTTTTCCATATTTGCTCCATTAACGTTATTTTCAACAGCAGTAAATATAAATTTTATCCTCATGCTCCCGTTCGACTCGAAATGCACCTCTTTGCAAACTTATGTGACGTCATATATAAATCCACGCTTGAAGGTTGACCTCGCCTCGAGGTCATTTTTATATTTTTGTTCAACTTCATGTAACCTGTTTTTAAGATTTGATTTATCCCAAATGTTGTTTGTAAATTTGTTCAGAGAATTAAATTATGTTGACATATTTCTAGATTATGTTTTATATATTCAAAGAACTATTTTTTCGTTGCGTAACTGAGTATGAATGGGGACACACATGTGACCGAGAGCCGGCAAATACCAACAAAATAGCATTGTTGCAATGTTCTTCGGCGAAACCAGAGGACTTCAAGTTTAAGCAAACATTGTTACGATATTATTCGGCGAGACCAGTAAACTACAATTAAAGTATGAAATTATAAGAATTGAACGTCAGTTTGGATGGGTTCATTGAACTGTGAACGATTTAAAAGAGCTGGTTAAACTTTCGCAAGCTCGGAGGTTCACACAGTTTATCCAATGAACCCATCCAAACTGACGTTCAATTCTTAAATAAAAGAGACAAAACTCTTGATTGTACGATTCCGACTATAACCTGAGCATGTGTTTATGAATACTATCGAATAGAGATGAGACCGGGTATTCGCAAAAAGGTGAGCGTATCCTGCCCCACCGGTGGCACCCGTCACAGTCACATGCAAAAGCAAGTCAATTGTTTACCCGACAAAAACAAACAAGAGTTTGCCACTAACGTGGCTATATCCCCCGCCCCTGTTGCAGAATTTATGACATAATTAAATCTAAACAAACCCTAACCTTTTTTAACCGAGGTGGAACTTGTCATGGAAATTGTTAAAAAAAGAAGAGTTTGCCACTAACGTGGCGAAGTCTCCTGCCCAGCAAATGAAGTGTATATTATGTCAACAACAGTGAAATTTGATCACACAAATACATACATTTGAAAATATTCAAAATTTTGTAAGGAGTGAAAGGCAGAAGGGAAGCATCTACTTGATGTAAATGCAAAATATCTTGAAGAAACAAAATATAATGCTGCAAAACACAATTTCTATGAAGTTCAAGAAACAAATGAAACCTTCTCCACAAAAAACATGAAGGAAGTACAAACTGACAAAACCAGTTACTACACCTACTACTGAATTCGTTAGGTTGGGAGAAAGAAAAAACATTACAAGTCACATTTTGACTGGAATATTTGTTAAGAAACATAAATGGTATTAGTTTGTGATATGTGACTATGGTCATTACCAGTTCAAACCCAAGATGTTGCTTTGGACATAGTATATTAAATGCAACATATTAAGATTCAAAACGTTCAGTTCATTACTACATTGATTAACATACAAAGAAATAATGATAGTCACTTCAATATGCTACACCTATTCCGTCATACCCCACACAAGATGATGGCCAGTGTATGGAACTGGAAAGAATCTAGTTGAGATGGGCTCATTACAGAAGATCAAGTCTAGTGTACCCCCAAGGGCGTGGGTTGGTTTGCTGATATACTGGGCGAATGTAAACTGCTCCATGAGGTTGGATAGTGCATTGTTGTCACGGACAGACTGGTCCATATTGAAGTCCCCAGTGATAACAATATCCTATACTGATTGAGTTTTTGACACGTAAAGGTGAGGTGAAATTGGGTTTAACATCGCGTCCAAGATTTTGACACTTAAAAGAAGAATTCATAAATTTCTAAAAGTTCAACTTGTTGTCATTGAAAAAAAAAAATCCAAAATTTTTAAATAGTAAAAGGCACCAGTTCAGCATGTACCTGACAGACCTGCAAAGTTTCATGAAAAAATATTGAACGGTTTATGAGTTGTGCTCCGGAAACGAACCCTACCCTCACAGAACCTAAGTCCATCTTGTTGCCATGGAAACAGAAAAAATAAAAATTTCTAAAATTTCTAAATAGCAAAAGGCACCAGTTCAGCATGTACCTGACAATGCTGCAAAATTTCATGAATAAGCATTGAACGGTTTCTGAGTTATGCTCCGGAAACGAACCCTACCCTCACAGAACCTAAGTCCATCTTGCTGCTATGGAACCGTAAAAAATAAAAATTTCTTAAATTTCTAAATAGCAAAAGGCACAAGTTCAGAATGTACTTGACAGACCTGCAAAGTTTCATGAACAAATATTGAACGGTTTTTGAGTTATGCTCCGGAAACGAAACGTGACGGACGTACGGACGGAGCCCGTTTCTATATCCCCCGCCCAACGAAGGGAATATTTTAATTATGGTACAAGTCACAATTGGGAATTGCATCGGACATTATTCTTGTCAATGATGCGTCAGATTTGGAAATGTCCTCCACATGTTTACCATAAAACCTTTTGAAAGCTTTACTGAGGCCCTGAATGGTTTAACCTTGATCAAACAACTTCTGCAACCAGACCATTTCCCTTACTAGCTGCAATCAGCAGAGCTTTTGCACCGTAATTGTCTGTGCAGTATTCATCACAAATTGACAAATCACAGTCATGTTCAACCAGAACATTGATTCACTTATGAATGGAATAGACGAATATCACAATGATGAGCTGCTGTTCCTCTGTTCTGACCTTTAGTATCGATACTTTGATGTTCTGTCTCGAACATATATTGTACAGTTTCCCATATAGCCTAAAGACTAACAATATGGAACAAAATGTCTTTCCAGCTTTGTTTCCCACGGTAGAAATTCATTTATTCTTAACAAGAAGGTCATAGATATATGTCTGGCTACATGCCGTTTATGAATCATCCATGACTAGTTCATCCTCTATATCTCCAGGGCTAGCATTTCGGTACACCAGTTTTGACGGTTCTGTAACACAACATAATGCCAACAATAACACAATACTGAAGTGAGAGAGTTAAAATCTAAAATAGCATCGGCATTATTTCTGCCATATGGCGACATACTATATTTGAAGTTGCTAAGATTCCAGAAAATTACTTATTTTGATGTTTACTTATACATTTACATCGATTGGAAGGAAGTTACTGTACAAACTAACCTTGCCAAGATAATTGGTTCAAATTGTAAAATTGTTAAATGACATCCCTGTTTCTAATTATAATCGGTTTCCTCAACGTCTTAGATTTCTTGGCCTGAAATATATTTAGCACTAATTGTAAGCTGAATTATTTTAATTCTGGGGTATGGTAGTATATTTGATGCATCTAAATTACGCTTTCCAAACCAACCTCACAGTTACTCTTTCGATTTAAATTAAAGTTGGAGGTACAAGTATCAATATAATGATAACATACATGTACTGGTGTAGGCAGTGTTGCAACCTTCTCGGTATTGCAAAATGAAATACTTTCTTATTCATACTAGACATATGCATTGTAAATGTCGTGAAAGAACATCTTATTGGCATTGTTTTGTGTCTTGCGTACTTTATTCAACACATTACCGTAAAGCACAGTGAAGACAGTGTTGAATAACTTTTCATCAATCTTAAGCAATACACATGTATATTTCAACACGTACCTTGTTTTGGAGTCTTCCTGAAGCAGTGTTTCCACCTTCAAATGTAAATAAAGAATCATGTTCAAATGTAAGTATCTGTATATAATATACTAAAATATAGTGAAAGGGTCATGGGGATCAATAAGAAATGACGCTCCAATACTATTAAGACATATATATTTAACCACAGTGGTCACTTGTGGATACAGAGGGGGTGTTTTGTGTTTTGTTTTTAGGGGTGCAAGGCCAAGTCACATTATGTGCTACCCCTTCCCATCCCTTTTTCGAAATCGTGGATCCGCCTCTGTTTGTGCTATGTACCTGGCGAAAGCCAAACACAGCCATTATCATATATGAGTAATATGAGATATGATATTCTTAAATATTGGGGGTTGCGCTGGTCTGAGCACTGGACAACTGTCGTTGAATAGTTGTTGAATGAACCGATTTACAAAACAGAATGAAGTTTTGTATAATCATGGACTAATAATGTAATAATAAATCAACATCGAGAGGTTTACATTGCGTATATGGTCCTTATCCAATGTTTATTAAACTTGGCAGAAATTGTGTTCATTATTTAAGAATACATAAATTCAACTTGATTTTAGGGATATACAGGGAGAGAATTGTTAGACAACAAGATTGAATTAACCAAAAAAAAAGAGTAATGTACCTTGCTTGAAGTTTAAATTTTGAGTTTATATTTAGCTGTTTAAGGGGTGGGGGGTGGGGGTGGGGATCGGTCAGTTCAAGATTTGCGTGATATGCATACTTATCAGTCTTATTTTACCAGTAAAATAGATATGAAACCAGTGAGTGAATGACTGTGGTTTTACGCAGCTTTTAGCAATATTCCAGCAACATCATGGGCTTCAAACATTGTACCCGGAATCAAACCCGGGTCTTCGGCGTGGAGAGCGAACGCTTTAACCACTAAACCTCCCGACCACAGAGTATGATGAAACAAACACAGAGTATGATGTTGAATGAATGGATTTGATTTCGCTTCCAACAAATTGATACCGCTAAGTCAAAAGAGACATACACACCTTGATATCTCCTTTTACGCTTCGCCAAAAGATTCTGATACTGGAAGAAATAAAGTTATATATTCAGTATATGAGAAAACATTTATTAGTAAAGGCTTTTTCATACAGGTTCATGTATTTTGTTATTTTGCTTGTACATGCATAATTGGTTCAGTTTTAGAAATATTAACTAAATTGTCAAAAGGGAATATTGTTCAGTAAAAATGATAAACCGCAATCGTGAGATGTGAGATTAGTAGAATTAGTTATAGAAATTCAACGTACCTTAACCCGATAGATACAGTTGTGACAGCTGTTTTCTGTAAACATAATCATACATACATTAATTTACTAAATAAAGAACCTCAATAAACGAGTTTTTATCTATTCGAGGTTTTCCATAAATACAATTGAAACACCTACCTCTATCTGAACCAGCTGCAACAGGATTGTGAACAGCCTTCCAACGCTCGACCTTTAGTTCTGAAAGTTAATAATTCAAAGTAACACGGCAAAACCCTTTGCATAATCATAAGAAAATTCTGCCAAAAGCAGAGTCCGTTGTGCGATTCCGACTACATCATAAATATGTGTCGTCACAGTCCAGTCGTCTAAGGCGCCGCAATTCGCTGTGCAGAGTTGCGTCCCTTGGGCACGCAAGAAACCTATGATTGTGGGTTCGAATACCAGTTCGCCCCGATTATGTTTCTCGGTTTGTCAGCACCATATCCGTGATCGTGGGTTTCACCGAAGTAGTAAACGTCTGAGACCTCAATCACTTCGGGCTTTTCTCCCACATTAAGCTGACACGCCGTGATATAACTGCAATAATGTTAAAAGCGGCGTTAAACCCAACTCATTCACTCAAATAGTGACAATAGCTAGGTGTACGCGAAAAGGTGACCGTATCCTGCCACACAGGTGCTGGAGCGCGGAAAGTCGGTTGTTCGATCCCATACAAAAAGACATTAATACATGGTACTTGTTGTTACCTCGCCACGCACGTTTATGCACACAACCTCATTTCACCCCACCTATGTTTTTGTTTAAATCGTATAAAAGAAGTACAAATATAAAATCTTCGTAAAACGAACACGATTCCATTGAGCATAAAAGACAAAATAGAGGTAATTAACCTTCTCCTTGATACTTGGTAAGGAACGCAAAATGTTTAAATGACGTACCTGCTTGTAATCGTTCTACTTGACGTCTTAATTCCTCCACCTGAAATATATTTAGCACTAATTGCAAGCTGAAGTTTTCTTTATGATTTACTATGCTCTGTATACATGTTACTTCTAAATTACACTTTTCAAACCTCACAGTTACTCGTTCGATTTCAAAATAAATTTGGAGGTACATGTAGCATGTGTAATTTAAAGCTGTGTGTCAACCTACTTGGGATTGCAACATAAATACTTTATTATGCATACCACTGGCTAGCGATCAGTTATCGCAGAGGACCAATTATTGCCAACTCCCCGTTAAAGCGCGCACGTGGTTGCATCTCATTTTACTTTTGCTCGTTTTTATTAGAAGAGAGAAATATTTATCCGAAAATGATGACAAAACGGACTCTTGTGAGGAAATATTTAAAAAACCCGCACCATAATCACGTGCACCTTGCTCAAATACAATATTTGTTTTTGTAAGTTTGCTGACGACAGATTGATAATAGCATTTCTTATTCATTTTGATGAATAAAAACATTGAGTGCGATACCTGAGATTCTAAGAAATGTAATTTGTATAACTGAAGCAGTGCGCGTGATGACGTAGCACGTGCTGTTAAAACGATGGGGATAACTGGTACATATTGTCGACTGGAAAGATCTATTTCCACTGTTTTAATTCCCGATCGTAGCGTTATAACCGAAATCAACTGAATCTTAGTCCATGGACATAGATAGGCGCATTTGCTCATAGTTTCACAAAAATTGAAGTTATTGGTACAGTCAACTTTGAACACGGAATATGTCCAAAACAACAAGAAAAAATGGCGACAACTGGTCGCTAGCCAGTAAACATATGCATTGTGAATGTCGGGAAGAAAATCTTATTGACATTGCTTTGTGCCTTGCGATCAACACATTACACAGTGAAGACAGTGTTGAATTAACATCCTCAGTGTTCAGCCATATACATGTATGTATTAACATATTAACACGTACCTTGTTTTGGAGACTGCTTTCTGTAACAGTGTCTCCACCTTCAAATGTAAATTGAGAATCACCTTCAAAATAAACTGTATATAATATATATACACTGTAAGGGCCCTTGAGAGGATGATGATCCTCCAGATGAGAACGAGGATTGGGTGCTTTCAACTTTGTAACTTGGCTGATTGCGTCGTTGGGCCCTGACGACGTGGATCGTTGATCATACAGTCAACAAATGTTTTGTGTAGCCCAGATTTGTTTATTTAGCTCAAATACCTTAACCCATACCTAAATTCCCTTCATCCGAGAAGGTTCTGTTTCAGTGCAATCAACTGGATCAAGAGAGAGAGAGAGAGAGAGAGAGAGCAGTGAGAGAGCGAGCGAGATAGAGAGAGAAGGGGAGAGGGAGAGAGAGAGAGGGGGGGAGGGAGGGAGAGAGAAAGAGGGAGGGAGAGAGAGGGAGAGAGAGAGAGGGAGAGAGAGAGAGAGAGAGAGAGAGAGAGAGATACACTGTAAGGGCCCTTGAGAGGATGATGATCCTCCAGCATGAGAATGAGGGTTGGGTGCTTTCAACTTTGTAACTTGGCTGATTGCGTCATTGGGCCCTGACGACGTGGATCGTTGATCATACAGTCAACAAATGTTTTGTGTGGCCCAGATTTGTTTATTTAGCTCAAATACCTTAACCCATACCTAAATTCCCTTCATCCGAGAAGGTTCTGTTTCAGTGTAATCAACTGGATCAAGAGAGAGAGAGAGAGAGAGAGAGAGAGAGAGAGCAGAGAGAAGGAGAGAGAGAAAGGGGAGGGAGAGAGGGAGAGAGAGAGTGAGGAAGAGAGAGAGAGAGAGAGAGAGAGAGAGAGAGAGAGAGAGAGAGAGCGAGAGAGAGCGAGAGCTCTACCTGTTTCATCTGTGTCGGTTTTGTTTATCTGCAATATGTCCACATCCATAAGCTCTGTGTCCACACTGCCATGTTCGGAACTTCGCCTTTCTTCAATTCGTTTCAAGAAGCTCGTCACCACCTTTCCATGTAAATCACTATCCATATGCAGAGATACAGGGAGTGCAAAAACGCTGGTCTTGCTTTCCAACTGTTCAATCTTGTCACTGAACACATCATCACGGTTGCAATCTTCTTCAGTGAGAACACCATGTATGACTGACAGGTCCAAGTGTAAGTCCTCATTAATAGACCTTACTGCAAACTTTGCAAGTCGAGAGTTATACACGAGAACACTCTCCTCTTTCGCAGTTGTACTCATGAAAGTCAGTATCACAATTGGTTTGGATGTCCTGAAGACACAAACGTCAAAGATGACATGTTTTGGTGTGCGAACAAATCTGCCCACATCAAGATGTTTCATCAGTGTGAAAGCTGCAAAAATGAACACTGATGGACTAGCAAAAGCGTTCATTATTCTTTTGTAGATGTTCGGATAACATCTGTCGAGATCTGTTGCCACATATCTGGGGTACATTTGGACCTCACCTGATAAAGACAAATTGGCTGTTTTTATTTCTAGTAATTTGATAGTAATGACGGCTAACTGAGACTTCCCCAAGGTGATACATAAAGAAACAGATCAGAAAGGAGAGGTGCCCCTGGGTGCCTACTTAATACCGACAGAGACAAAGGTAATTACACATGTACTTCTATCACAGTGCCTTAAGTGTAAGACAAGGCTAATTTTTTATTCTCAAACCTACCTTGGAAAACTTTTGAAATGATTTGTTCCACTTGTTTGCGTTCTACGTCATCAATCACAGACTGCTGGAGGTGTTTCGTATCTGGAAACAAAAGACATTTACAAATGTAAGGGGGGGGGGGGGGGGGGGGGGGGGGGGGGCGGTCAAATATTCCCATTGGTCATCTGAGCATTACTAATCTGTCACATAATGAACATAATCTTTTAGATAACATTTCTGTTGTTTCACGAAAAGATGGCCCGATACATATACCAAATATAAAGTGCAGTCTGCTTTCAAATTCATGTGACAATAATAAGATATGAGCAACTCCTTAACTCTCTGATGTAACCTAGTAAAACGTAAGTACTTTACTTTACTATACATGTGGGCCCAGTAGCTTGTCATGATTATAAGAGCAGTCCAAAATTAGGATTAGACAGGCTGATATTGCTTACATTGAACCCCGGCGGCGTGGATCCTTAATATTAACTACACGTTTCTCTGAACCAGTTCGATTTTTTCCAGGCTGCTGTGATATAGATACAATATTGCTTCTAACTGCGGCGCAAAACAGTTTCTCAATGAACAAACAAAATGGTGAATTGTGGCAACGATAGAGCTTCGGACGTAAATATCCCAAGTTGCCCGAACATTTGGCAAATCAAGAAAGTGTAATTTCTCGACTGTGGGACAAGTAGCATGGGATGGGGTTGCAATGAGACATGGGCGTGGCAGGCCTAAAATGATACCTAGATGATCGTCTCATTACATTAATTGCACTACCCAACAGTTTCAAATCTGCTCCTGTTATCAATAGCTTACCATAGGCAGCAAAGAATGGGGTGGTTTAGGCAACATAAGGGACGGGCTGTGCGCCAATTTCGTTTCACCCTGTTCACAGACGGATAAATGTTTTGCCTCTGATTCACAAATGACTGAAAACGTTGATGGTGACGTAGCGGCGAGCGGCATGCCGGGGCAACAGTTCTTGACCATGATCGGTATGTGGCCGGTAGTGTCATGGCGTTGGGTGGTATCACACATGACACAAATTGATTTGCTTATTGTGAATGGACATTTGACTGGCCAGCGATATGTTAATAAAATTTTGCGTTCCATTCGCTAGAATTATCGGAAATTTTGAACTACAAAGTGGCAATGCAAGAACACGTGGTGCCCTAGTCGACACTGATTATCTCCGACGAGAAGGCCTACGGACATTGGACTGGCCTGCTTAATCTTCTTACATGTCCCTAATTGAGCTCTGTGGGATCTTCTCGAGTGTCCGCCAAAGACCCAGCACCCCCTAACGTGGCCCATCTTGGGGTAGCTCCCCCGCCTCAACAGCGGGCAATACCAAAGGACAACCATACATAAGTTAATTCACAAAATGCCATCAAGGTGTCATGCATATATCGCCCAACATGGTGGACACACCAGACATTTTACAGACATTTATTCATTCTACATTCACTATCATTTCATCATTTCCATTATTTGTGTCGGAACTATACTTATTGTTTACCTTTAAAAGCAGCAATCCTTTCATCTGATGAGCTAGAAGTAACATCATACTGCTTCGAGGTGCAACACTGAATTCCTCCTTCTTCTGAGTGGTAGTTATATGACGAAACAGAAGTCTCCACCGTCCCAGAGGAAGACATAATTATACCGTTACAAGTGTTCTTTTTTTAAAGTTACTTTATGATTTGCATAGTATGCAGTGCCGTTTCAGCCTCAAAATCCACTCCTTCACTGCCATCCTTTCACAAACCATCTCTTCCTTTGATGAGCCCTTGACAAAATACGTTCTTGGTCCTTTCTTATCACTAAACACAATGCCTTCTATGTAGCCTACAGCTACTTGTAGAATGTATCGATTTGGTGATGGAAGTTCGTGAAACTTCAGTTTGATTAGACCTGAAGGTATTTCTCTAGCAAACCGACCACTGGCATACAGTATAGATGTATTTTCGTATATTTTACGGGTCAATTTTGCTAAAAATGTGTCTTTGTTTATATGGAGCTCAAAATATTCGGTTGTAACTTCTTTGAGACTATATTTGCCAGTATCAACAATGTCGAATCCAACACCTTTCAAAACCTTAGAGTGTGTACTTTCATCTGTCTTTTCTGCTATTCCTATAAATATTGAACCACCGCCAATGATTTTTGAAAACGATGTAATATTGTCCTTCAGTTTTAGATTTAACCAAAGGTAGTCAAGGAGACTGTCTTCATCCGACGTTAGCTTTGGATTCGCTGCCAAATTAGGCATTAATGCCTTATGTTCCACATGTCTAGACTCGTGAAAGGTTTTGATATCATCAGGCAGGTCCCTCAACTTTGCATCAAAACACTTTTCACCATCTTTGTCTAACAAAAGAGAAACAATGTTCACTGTTGTTGCATTTTCGTTTTCAATGTCGTTCCGAACTTTAGTATTAAAGTCCACTGTCGATATTGATTTAGTTTTACCTACTCTCAGGAGAACAAAGTCAGTGCGATCTTTGTAATCGTCACTGGCACTTAGCCATTCCCTCTTAAATACATTCACAAACAGTGTACCGTCCTCTATCAGTGCCGTTAATCCCTTGCTAATAAATTCATCAAAATATTCTAAGCATCTATCATTTTCGCCTTGGCCGTCCAGGTGAACAAGAATAGACCCCCCTCTGCTGTTTCTCAAAGCTGCTCCACGCCGCTTTATCTGATCGAGGACCTCACTTTTGGCCTCACATTTACTTCCCTTCCTTTTCACAACTGAACGACTTGTATGTACTATGAATATATTCTCATCAGACGACCCTAGGCTGTATTTCTGGCCCACTGCTTCACAGTCAGCACACTTCTTCACCTCTGTTACACTCCCACGGTCAGCGCGTGGGGCAGTACGTCGTCCTTAAATAAAATAGATGCAAAACGTTATGAATGTTCATACTATACATGTTCGGTTGATAACAAACAGTTTGTGAAAAATTGAAAGCAAATGTCAACTGAGGTAAAATGAAAAATCATCACGTGAAATGCTGGACTTTAGGCAAGGGGTAGGCATTCCCATAAGAACCAGTTGTGTCTCCCTTCTTGCTGATCTGTTTCATTATTCAGGTGATTCGCAAATTCTGCTCGGATTGGAAAGATCAAAAGGAAAGTCGTTTGATCAAGGTTACAACATTACATGCCTTAGTTGGTACTAGTATTTCAAAGGGTTTTAAATTTGACACATCATGAGAACGTTCAGATTAAGGAACCACCTCCTTGTAATTTTTAATTGGTCATGTTTATAAATGTTAAATTTCCAGCGGGTTTTAATACTGATTGGGCCTTTATTGTTTTTAAAACATCTTTTGACAGTGCAAACGCGGCACCTTATCTATATGGTCTTAATAGTTTTGTTAGTTAAAATGGTAACGGATTAAAGACACACTCTATAGCCTTGGCTGACTTCCCGAGCGGGGGTTTACTCTTCCGATGTCCGTGCTTTATCGACCCTCTGAGATAAGGTGTTTCTCTAGTGTTGGTTGCGTAATTACTTAAACTCCATGACTCGCATCTGTGAAAATATATGATGCCCCTTGCAATCCCCTATTTTCACATTTTGTCGTATTTTCGCGTGGTTTTTTTTCAGAATTGACTTGTGACGGATGTCACCGTTGGGGCAGAGTTTGCCTTAGCTTTTGCGAGATTCTGATATCATCATTATTTGGAAATGATTCATAAACACATGCATGTGATATTGTCGGAATCATACAATCAATTGTGCATTAAGCAGATATTTCTTATGATTATGGAAAGGGTTTTGTCGCTTTCATACGATTATGGCCTGATTTTTAGTTAATTAGGTCTTTGTTGATTACCTTTAGGGAGATCAGATGCCATATGACGTTCATGACCGCTAAAGAATGTTCACACTGCAAGAAGAAAAAGTAAACAATCATGGGTCAGTGATTGGAAGAAATACACAACACATACTATGATGAAACCTTATGAAGAGGGAGGTTTAAGAGTGCCTGATATTCAAAATACAATCAACGCTCAAAAGATATCTTGGATTAAACGCTTGTTCAATTCACATCCACACTCTTAACTTGCCACTCTTTTGATTAATAATATAACTCCAACATAAATTGATTTTCAGCAAAAATGCAAATTCTATATTTCGGAAAAGGTTATTAATGATAGGACCAATGCTTTCTGGAAAGATGTCCTGTGTGCATGGGGAAACTTAATAGAAAAAAGGGAATTCTATCAAAGAGGAAAAAGATATATTATCACAACCTTTATGGCAAAATACAAATATAAAAATCAGGAACACTCTGGTATACGATGAACGTTACTCGGGAAAAGGCATTAATCTTGTCATGATTTGATAGACAAGAACGGAAATTTTCTAGATCTTTTAGACCTAAAACATGTATACGAGTGTAAAACACATTTTCTGGAATATTCTAGTCTTACCCAAGCAATAAAACAATATTTAAAGCGTAAGAGTATAGCCCTAACATCTGAGTTACATCTGCCCATAATACCATATTTCCTTGAAAACTTAGTGGAGAGGTGGGGATGTAGGGTGTTTAATGATATTTTAAATAAAGTATCCAACAACATGATATCCCAAAAATACATTCAAAGATGGGAACTAGATCTTGGCCTTAACATGACGGAAAAAGATTGGCAAACGATTAATCGTAGCCCCCACAGATATAATGTGTCCTCAAAACAAAAATGGTTCCAATACAGTATTATTCATAGAATTATGCCAACAAACGAGTTACTGTACAAAATGGGATATAAAGAATAATTTCTTTGCAATTTTTGTAAACGAGAAAAACAAACCTAAGTGCATATGTATTTTGACTGCAAATTTTATTAGGATATCAACAAAGATGAAATGATGTATTAAATCATATTCTAACTGTAACAAAGCAAAACATATTCAAATCAAACTTTTCCGACTCCATACCAAATTTCCCACACACCAAACAAGAAATAACCGATTCATATTACATTGACAGAAATATATCATATTCACAATGTAAATACACACAGTTCATAACATTTTGGTCTCTCTGTCACCACCTATTTCGTTTAAAACCACGAACTTGCACAATCCAACAATATGACACTGGCATAGTTTTTGTAACTTGTATGTATTTAAGATTACATGTGAACTATATTCTGTAAACATATTGTTTGTGTACTCCAAAAAGAAATAAAATAATAATAAAAAAATACACAACACAACTGTTTCATATAATTGAACGAAACTTTATCAATACCAGTTCTTCAATTTTGTATATTTTTCTCTTAGAATCTAGTTTGGGTTTGTGACAAAGTCCGGTTGTCAAAAAGACGTTCAAGAGGTTTTGCAAATGGCAGGATACACAGGGACTGGTTAAATAACATGTTGTGAGTTGAAACCGGACTCGGACAAGAACTGTTTATACACCATTACGCAAATTAACTGCAGACTGTTGATCTTTTTCCCCAAAACATGTTAGAATGATAAAACGACTAGTGAATAAGATGTTCAAAAACCCATTGCATTATAAGTCCTCAGGTAAATAGTAGGTAGTGCGTATCTGCGTTTTGCAAATGGCGTCTATAAATGCATAGTAAAATAACTAATGTACACATTTAGTTATCATTTATATAAACCTAAAACGTCAACGCCAGAATTACCATGCAGTATCGATTATGAGCAGAAACAGATCACATTGGGTGTAAAAACAAAAACAGCGATGAAAATCATAATTTTATGAATGGACCACTAAAAATCAGTGATGACACCGGGTGTTCGCGAAATGGGTATGCATGTCCTGCCTGACTGGTATGACCAACCATTTCCACAACATTTACTTCTTTTATTTATTGCCTGATTCCGCACAGCAGTCCTCCTGCAGCCTGTTTTCCTACTTGTCCCGCACATATTGCCATCTCTAAAAAGTCATCTCAAGGGGTGATATCCACATATGAACACATTCATTGAGATACTGCAGTAGGAGCCCACAGTACTGACCAGAGAGTAATTCTTCACGTTTCTTTCAAACGTTTGGCTAAAGCACATACTCCACTAAATCAGACAGCTTGTTTTTTAATTTGAAATTTGCAAATAAAGCAATTGATGCCTCAAACCTAACTAAGCTTCTCAGACTAAAAATTATGCCTTAAACCTAACTAAGCTTCTCAGACAAAAATCTGATTCCCAAAATGTCTCACGATATTTCAAATATCTGGAACAATCAAACTACTTCATTTTCCTATACGAAAAATCATTTCATCCAAATTGTTCAATTATAGGAACGTGTTGCAGAACGTGGACTTGGCACCTCATGATGTCAATTCCGCTACTTTGAGCTGCTAAAACTCATCATACTGCCATCAACCTGTAGGTCATGTAATCACAGGTGACTTTGCTATTGTTGCGAAAACATTCTTTGTCGGTTATTCAAATGTGAACCAACATATAGTGAACAGTTACCTACCAATTGGGATCACAAAATAAAATCATTATGGATGCTGCCAAATATGGGCCAAAAGAGAAGAGTAAACTATTGAATATCTTTCAGAGTTTTAACTTTTGACTTGACTCTAAAAGCCTCTTTTGTAAAGGATTCCAAAGCACCATAAAACACATACAAAGAGAGGTATATATTGCTGGGTCCAGCAAATGTACCACCAAATCCCTGTCACAATGATTGACTATAATCCTTAATACAACAAGTATTTGTCACAGAGTGACGAAATATCCCCCGCCATATACACCATAGTACCAAATATGAAGACAATCCAGCGATTAGTTCTTGAGATATTGTGGCAACACCGTTTTCCAACTCCAAAAACAGATTTGCCTGCTGTGACCTTGAAAATGGGGTCAAGGTCACCAAATCTGACAGGTGTATGCGGTGTCTGTATATACACTATAGTTCCAAATATGAAGACAATCCAGTGATTAGTTCTTGAGATATCGCGGCAACACCGTTTTCTAACTCCAAAAGCAGATTTGCCTGCTGTGACCTTGAAAATGGGGTCAAGGTCACCAAAACTGACTGGTGTCTGCGGTGTCTGTATATACACCATAGTTCCAAATATGAAGACAATCGAGAGGTTTAGTTCTTGAGATATCGCGGCAACACCGTTTTCCAACTCTAAAAGCAGATTTGCCTGCTGTGACCTTGAAAATGGGATCAAGGTCACCAAAACCGACTTGTGTCTGCGGAGTCTGTATATACACTATAGTTCCAAATATGAAGACAATCCAGTGTTTAGTTCTTGAGATATCGCGGCAACACCGTTTTCAAACTCCAAAAGCAGATTTGCCTGCTGTGACCTTGAAAATGGGGTCAAGGTCACCAAAACCGACTGGTGTCTGCGGTGTCTGTATATACACCATAGTTCCAAATATGAAGACAATCCAGTGTTTAGTTCTTGAGATATCGCGACAACACCGTTTTCCAACTCTAAAAGCAGATTTGTCTGCTGTGACCTTGAAAATGGGATCAAGGTCACCAAAACCGACTGGTGTCTGCGGAGTCTGTATATACACCATAGTTCCAAATATGAAGACAATCCAGTGTTTAGTTCTTGAGATATCGCGGCAACACCGTTTTCCAACTCTAAAAGCAGATTTGTCTGCTGTGACCTTGAAAATGGGATCAAGGTCACCAAAACCGACTGGTGTCTGCGGAGTCTGTATATACACCATAGTTCCAAATATGAAGACAATCCAGTGTTTAGTTCTTGAGATATCGCGGCAACAAACAGGTGGGACGTACGGACGGACGGACGGACGGACGGACGGACGGTCGTGAATACTATATCCCCCGCTTCGCGCTTTCGCGCGGCGGGGGATAATCAAGGTAGGACTTTTTTACAAGACAAGCGGAATTAATAGAATTTTATTTGAAAAGCCCGAATGGAATTGCTTGATTTTTTGCATTCTCGGAAAAGAGTTCAATTCTGTCAAAACACACATTTGATTTTTCAACATTAAACACTGCTATTCCACATGACAAACTTGAGGGGGTATTCATTTCTTGATCCATGGAACATTTGTTATAAAACATGGTGATCTACGTTTTAGGCTAATTGAAAACAAATGCAATCTGAAGTTTACTCAGAAAACAATACCTGAAATGTTGGACTTCCTCCGTAATAACATATATGTAAAATTTGGGGGTGAAACATTTGTGCAAGAGGTAGGCATTCCCAAGGGAACCAAAGGTGCTCCTCTTCTTGCTGATTTGTTTCTTTATGCATATAAAACTTGGATTGGCACAGTTCAAGTTCAGTTCTTTATTTCTTAATGCCAATAAGGCCACAGGGTTATAGTACATGTATCCAAAGTAGCTGAAGGTCATTTATACAATAGAATATACAACACTAACCAAGGTAACTGGTAAGACACACCTTGACCTTGAGAAAGATCTTTCTTTCTAATAATCAAGGCTTGGAAAGTGAATATTGACAAAAAAGATAATTGTGAAAGTATTTTTTCAGTCTTCATAGTAAGTAAACTTCAAATGAGGATTCTTGAACAAATTATCATTAATGAATTGGTTTCCAATGTCAACATTAGATGAACAAACAAGTAAAAAGTGATATTCATCTTCTATATTGTTTTGTTTGAAATACATTTAAGGAAATTCCGAGTGGGGTTGCTTTCATGATCTCATTGAATCAGGTAGACACTGTAGAGTAAGATATTCATAATATGCCACCACGTTTAAATACGACTGCTATTGTTTTGTTATTGTTCACAGGCAGTTTCTGTTTATCACTGTAGAAGCGTTAAAATATTTGTGGGTTTTTTAATTCAGGTATTGTGCTGGAACAAAATATTATATCATCGGCAAACCAAAGAAGAAATAACTTTACTGTTTCAGGGTGTATCTGTGTACCATCTGTACAC